CCTTGCACGCGGCCAATCTGGCCAACTGAGGTTTGATTCCTCCGCCCCTCTAGGAGAGCCTGGCAAGCTACCGAGAGTATCTCGCCCGCACGGCAAAGCCTGGCAAGCTACCTGTGACGTATTCGATATGTCAAACACAGTAACAAGTGTCACAACTGAGACGTTACTGGGCCCGCTCGAGCAAATGGATGAACAACGGGAGAACAGTGACAGATTTGGGGACCGAAGAAATAGTACAAGGGGTAGGCATTTGCCTTGCACATGGTCAACCCAGGTTGGTTCTCCAGCATGCCATATGCTCCCCTGAGCACTGCAAGGAGTAATTCCCAAGTTCAGAGCCAGGTATAATCCTATGGTTGTGACAAAAAAAAAAAAAAAAGCAGCAGCAGCTTGGATTTTTAGGGGTTGAATAGTCGTGGGCAGGGCACTTTCCTTGCAGGCAGGCAGATTCCCATATAGTCCCCTCAAATACCATAGGATTTAGTCCTGAGAACTGCTGGGTGTGGCCCCCAAACCAAAGAAAAGCAGTAGTAGTAGCTTGGATTTTATTCTGAAGGAAACAAATGCCTATGCCTCTTCTCTGGTTCCCTGGGATTGCTTCCTTCAGCTAGGCACTGCACCTATACAGGTGTCCACAGAAGCCAGAAGACATCTTCCCTCCTCTCCAGCCCCTTCATGAGAGCTGTGCATTTTTGTCCTCCAGCCTATTCCTGGCTGGTTTCTGGGCCCAATGTTGTTAGAAAGTCAAAGAGCCTCAGTTACAATTGGCCAAAGAGCTTCTGAGAGCATCTAGTTACCAATGTAGAATTCTAGCTCCACCCAGGAACATCAGACCCAACCACTCTATCTCCCTGGGAGTTTTTCTCCAGATTTTTGGCCTGGGCAGCCCTTTGTCCCTGATTATAGTTGAGATGCTTATGTAGAGTACAAAAATGAATAAGTAAGGAATGTCAGATGAGAGCTATCCCCTGGGCTCCAACACTTTAGGCTTCCAAGTTTTGACCTTTGCTGGGAATCAGAGGAGGAAAAAGTAGAGAGATAAAATCCTGTTTTAGGATGACTTCTGGAAACAGTCTTAATCTTAAAAAAGGCTGTTAGCTGGCAAGCTGATTTGTTTGGCGCTCCCATACCTGTCCAGTGGGTCTGTCCTGACCATAAGACTATCTCACAGATCTAGATCATCTCCATTCTATAGACAACTAAAAGTGGTAGAATAATCTAAAGAAATGTCATCACCACATTATTGAGTTCTGTGGGTCAAGATGACAAAGTCACCAACTTTAGTTCAAACAGATGACAAGCCAAAATTTAAGGGTACACTTAAAAAAGGGGAGGGGGAAACACTCCAATGGTCAAAGGTGGAACAAATTCAACACAAAATACTCAAGAGTTCATACTGATGTAAGTAAATCATTAAACAGAGGGAAAAAAGCCAATGGGAAAAAGGGGTTGTGAGGGGGTTGGAAAGACAGTACAGGGATTAAGGTGCTTGCCTTGCATGCAAAAGACTGGTTCAATTCCCTACACCATATGATCTCCTGGCACAGAACCTGAAAAAACGCAGTAACATGAGGTGTGGCTCAAATCTCTAACACACACACACACACACACACACACACACACACACACACAAACACGTTCCAAATAATGTGTTGGCTACTCCCCACTAACTTCCCAGTTGATGTGTGGGTGGTACATAGCAACTCACTCCTAGGAGAGTATCAGCATTAAAGTACAAAAATCTGGAGCTGGAGTGCAAAGGGCAGGTTGCTTGTCTTGCATGTGACCAACCCGAGTATGATTCCCTCAAACACTCCATACGGTCACCTAAGCATCACCAAGAGTGATCCCTGAGTGCAGAACCAAGAGTATGCCCTGAGCACTGCTGGGGTGGCCCCCAAACCAATAAAAATTAAAGCATAAAAATATAATGAATATAACCTCAGCTAGTTAATGAACAATGGTACATCCTGTGTCCTGGATATAACAGCATAGGGAAGGGGAAACTTTTCCCCCAATCTTCCATAATCCAGTCAAACCATAAAAATGTATCAGATATATCTCAACTGAAAGATGTTCCACAGTATATCTCACCAGTCAAATTTAACACGAATAAAACAAGCTTCAGAGACTATCACAGGAGTTGAAGCAGTAGTACAGTGGGTAAAATGCTTGCCTTGCATGCATGCAGCTGACCCAGGTTTGATCCCCAGCATCCCATATGGTCCCCCAAACCCACCAGAAGTAATTCCTGAAGCACAAGGCCAGGAGTAACCCTCGAGTATCACCAGGTAAGTAAAAAAAGTAAAGGCCCTCCCGTTGATCTTCGATTTGTTCGAGCGGGCCCAGTAACGTCTCCATTGGAGACTTTGTTGTTACTGTGTCTGGCATATCGAATACTCTCGGTAGCTTGCCGGGCTCTCTGAGAGGGGTGGAGGAATCGAACTCGGGTCGGCCATGTTGGCTGCGTGCAAGGCAGACGCCCTACCTGCTGTGCTATCGCTCACCAGGTATAGCCCAAAAACAAACAAACTATCATAGCCAAGAGGAACCAAAAGAGACAGGACACTACAAAAAAAAAAAAAAAAAAAAAAAAAAGAGACAGGACAATGAAATGTAATGTGGAATCCTGGAATGGAAAATAAGATGGGTTAAAAGCTAAGGAAATACAAATAAAATATGGACTTTGGTTATCAACGTTGGGTGGTTTTGGAGTGTTTTTGGAGAGTGTGGTGTTTGGGGCCATACCCAATAGTGCTCAGGGACTAATGGCTGCTCTGGGATCACTCCTAGTGAACGACATGGAATATGTGGTACGGGTACTAAAGCAGATGAGCCATGTACAAGTCAAGCATCTTAACCTCTATCCTATTTCCCCTTTTCTCAGTATTGGTTTCTTGATTGTAATAAACATACCATAATGATGTAAAATGTTAGCAAGGGGGAAACAGGTTCACGGTACATGGTACTATCTTCATTTTCCTATACAACTGTTCTTTGAAACAAACAAACAAAAAGTTAGGCTCTAAAACATACTGCTTTAGCCTGGTTGTAAACACCAGTCTGCTCTGCATCTGGTGTAGACAGAGGTCTATGCAACCCTGGGAATTAAGTTCATCTCTTGGCATTCCACTTTAAAGGCAGCCATGTCCTGATCTTGTGTCTGCCTGGCAGAGTCCAGTTACCAAGTAAGCAAAAGTACTTAAGAGACTGGGTTTAGCATCCCTGACTCCCTTGGCCAAGAAGAGAGAGCCATAGGTTAACTGCCTGCCTTTGTTTCTTTTCATTCCCTACCCCTGCCAGACTCCTGAGCTGGAACGATAGCACAGTGGTCGGGCGTTTGCCTTGCATGCAGCCGGCCCAGCCAAGCCAGGTTCGATTCCTCTGCCCCTCTCGAAGAGCCTGGCAAGCTACCGAGAGTATCTCGCCCGCACGGCAAAACTTGGAAAGCTACCCATGACATATTCGATATGCCAAACACAGTAATAAGTCTCACAATGGAGACATTACTGAGCCTACTCGAGCAAATCGATGAACAAAAATTGATGAACAACGGGAGGACAGTGACAGTGACTCCTGCCAGAAGTGAAAACCCAAGACACTGGGGGGACAGGCGGGCAGGGGTATCCTGCTGGGCGATTCACACATGCAAGGCATGTGCTTCACCAATGAGCCACATCACTAACCCCAAACCCAGACTTTTTTTTTTGGGGGGGGGGGGGCGGGGGGGCAAGGGAAGTTTGGCCCATATTCCGCAATGTTGGGGAGCAACTTTGCCGCAACAGTGCTTGAGGGATCATGTGGCACCAGGAATTGAACAAGGCAAGCACTTTAACTCCTGTACTCTCTCTCTGGCCCACAAACTTAAACTTGTTTCAGGACCACACCGGCTTACTCCTAGTTCTGTGGTCAGGGACTCCTGGCAGTGCTTGGGAGACCATATGCAGTGCTGGGGGTCAAATCAGACCACATGCAAAGCATACATAAGCCCTGTACTATCTCTCCAGTTCACAAACACAAACCTTCCTAATGCATGCTGTTACAACAGTCTATCTCTCCAGTTCACAAACACAAACCTTTCTAATGCAGGCTGCCACAACAGTCTATAAAAAATCATGAATGCCTAGAAAAATAGCTACTTCCCGAATCTGATCCCAGGTACTGCAGGAACCCCTGTATGGCTCCTGTGCATCACTACAGGTCAACTGAATCATCAGCCTACAAATGATGATCTGCAGGCGTCCCATCTGAGTGGCCCAAGTCCCTAAGCACAGCTAGAGAGACCCAAAAGAAACAAAACTTTGGGGGGCTTTGGGGCCATACTTGGTAGTGATGAAATAGATATGGGAACTATTTCCAGCTCAGTGCTCAGGGTGACTCCTGATGTCCTTTGGAGACCATGTGGTGTGGGGGTCAAATCCATATGCACTTCGGCCTTTCAAGTCAGCTACCTGACCCCAACACAGTATTTTTTAAAAATGTAAATAACAAGAGGGGACTAGAGAGAATACAGCAGGCAGAGGGTTAGCCTTGATTATGGCCAACCTGGGTTCAATCCCTGGCACCCCATCTGGTTCCCTGAGCACCTCGATGTACTAGTGATCTCTGAGCAGAGCCAGGAGTAAATCCTGAACACAGCCAGGTGTGACCAAAAACAAAAACTTACAATCAAAAGCATATGTGATAAGTCAGAACCAAGAATATGAGGAAAACAAGTGGAAGATGTCTGGAAGAGTGTTTTTTAGTTTTATTTCAACCCATTAACACTGAATACACAGGCTTTTACTCAGCCTTAAATAACCTAAATAGCCATAGAACTTAAGAGGATAAAAAAATGAAACAGCTTAATCCTCAGAGAATTCAAATTGAAGAGAAACCCTGCAGTCTTTCCCCTCATAGCTTCATCCTGACAATCCGCAGATACAGAGAAGCCAAATTCTAAGAGATCCAGACATACATTTCTGGACAGGCCTCCAGGTGCCAGACAACAGGGCACTTACTTCCTGAGGATGATGACTGCTCTGCGTTCCTTGATGTCCTGAGGACGTATGCAGTGAGTGATTTCATCAGCAGCATATCCACTGAAAATAAACAAAGAGCAAGTGAGCATGGGAAGAAGACAACCAAAATTTCTGGGGTTAGTAAAGAGACAGAACTATGACTCAGGTCTTATGGCCACCCTCCACTCCATTATATGAGAGGTTCAAGAATCAACATGAGATGATGGTGGGGGCTGGGAGCGTGGGGAGATGGTAGGGAAATACTACAGAGACTAAGATGCTTGCCTTGCACGCAGCTGACCCAGGTTTTATAACTAGCATCCCATATGGCTCCCCAAGCCCCTCAGGAGTCATCGTTGAGCACAGAGCTGGAAAACCTGAGCACCACTGGGCATGGCCCCTAAAAACAAAGAACCTAAGGCTAGAGCAATAGAAGAGTGGGTAGGGCGCTTGCCTTGCACCCCATATGGTCTCCTGAGTACTGCCAGGAATGATCCCTGTGGTGCTCAGGGCACTCCTGGCTCTGCATTCAGGGTTCACTCTGGGAAGACTCAAGGAACCGTAAGTGGTACATAAGGATCAAACCTGGGTCAGTCATGTGCAAGACTAGCACCCTCTTCAATGGCTCCAATTCCCAGAAGCTTTTTTGATATTTAAATAGTAATGAGATCATACTAATGGTAGAGAAAGGAACCTTTGTTTTAAGGATTCCTCATCTGAGCTGCTCTCAGACCAGAGTTTTTCAGTGCTCTCTGTGAACACCAGTCCCACAAGAGACCAGAGGCAAATGTCTATAGTGACATCAGTTCAGTAATTCAGAAGATTACTAGCTGATAAGAAACTGGTAAGAAAATAACAAAGAGGGGTTGGAGAGATGGCTCAAAGGGCTAGAGCACATGCTTTGCATGCAAGAGGCCTGGGTTCAATCCCTGGCACCACATGGTGATCTCCCCAGCACCAAGAGCAATACCTGAATGCCACCAGATATGGTTCAAAACTCAACCTCCCCCCAAACAACAACAACAAAAAACAAAAAAGAGTCAAGAGTTTTTGAAAGTAGTAGGGATCTGAGAAATACAAAAGAATTCTGATGACTTCAATTGAGCTTTAACTGCAAAGATCTATTAATATCACTGACCCACAATGAGACATGCCACATATGGATAGAGGATTGAAGAGACCTAAATTTGAACCTGAGCTTTATGATCTATTTGCTTTGTGAACTTAGTTCCATGGTTTCTTTTTTTCCTTAGGAGGCGTTATGTCACAATCAGTAGTGCTCAAGACTTACTTCTGGCACACTGTTCAGGGATCACTCCCGTCAGGGGTCATGGAATTATATGTGGTACTGGTGATCAAATCTGGGTAAGATGCATGCAAGGCAAGACTATTATCAGCTACATTCTCTCCTAGCCCTCAGATTTTTTTGGTTTGGGTCCATACCCAGTGATGTTCAGAGGTTACTCCTGTTCTGCACTCAGAAATTACTCCTGGCAGGACTGGAGGGACCATATGGGATGATGAGGATCAAACCCAAATCAGCTGCATGGAAGGTAAACACCTACCCGCCATACCATTGCTCCCCTTGCACTTAAGTTTTTGGGTTTTTTAAAAACTTTTTTATTGAATCACTCTGATAGACCCTTACAAAGCTGTTCATGATTGAATTTCATTCATACAGTATTCCAACACCTATCCCTCTACCAGTGTACATTTCCCAGTACCAGTGTCCCCAGGTTCCCTCTCACCACCACCCCCCTCTGCCTATCTCTCTCTTCTTCCCTCTTCTTTCTCTCCCCTCCACCTCCCACGTTTTAGGCATTGTGGTTTATAATACTGATACTGAAAAATTAACCTTGAACGTGGTGGGTTTTTTTTTTTTGCTTTTTGGGTCACATCCAGCAATGCACAGGGGTTACTCCTGGCTCTGCACTCAGGAATTACTACTGGCGGTGCTCAGGGGACCATATGGGATGCTGGGAATCGAACCCAGGTCAACCGCATGCAAGGCAAACACCCTACCCGCTGTGCTATCGCTCCAGCCCCTGAACTTAGTTTTAAGCCACTTGCTGGGCCTAAAGTTCAGTTAACTGAGCTGTATATAATAAGCGCAGCAGTAGATTTCTAGGGGTTTCATTTTAACCTTAGGTACTCTATTGTGGTCATTAATAAGTATGAGATTTGTTATTGTTGTTTAGCCACACTCAGTAATACACAGGGCTATTCAAGCTTGCTACTGAGAAACATACACTATTGGGATGCCAGGGATGGAACCCCGGACAGCCCCACGCAAAGCAAGCGCCCAACCTGCTATACTATCTCTCCAGCCTCACCTCCTCTTTTTTAATGGTGCTAAGGGAATCAAACCCAAGGACTCACACACACAAGTGCTCTACTGCTGAACTATAGTCCTAGCTATACCAAAGTGAATGTTGTCAGCACAGAGCATCAAATCTGGGTCCTTGACATGGACCTCTAAGAATACAAGGCAAGCACTCTACCACTGAGCCACATTCCTGACCCAAATTACGTTTCTTTTTCTTTTTGGTTTCTGGGTCACACCCAGTGATGTTCAGGGTTTAGTCCTGGCCCTGTGTTCAGGAATCACTCTTGGCCATTTCCCAGACCCACATGCAAGTAGCAGGGTCAGCTGTGTATACAGCAAGTGTCTTACCCTCACACTATCTCTCTACCCCAATCAACATACATGTCTAAAGCAGTATACAGGCTACTACAGGCAATCTTACCTACAATTAACAACTATTATCAATATGTTTGAATTGGCTATGGGCACTACTCTAGACTCTGCCTTCCCATCCCTAACAAAGAACTGTTTTTCTTAATGTAGGCTCTGGAATAAGTCCAGACATTTGTCAAATCTTATCTGCCACCATCCCCAAAAGGCACTTCTTAGAATGAACAAGTTATGCTAGGTCCCATAATAGAGTCCAGGCTTCAGAATTACTAGTGAGAAGGTAGAATTGCACTGCCTGCACAGATTCACAAAAATGACACTGGGGTCAAGAGAGAAAGGATAGTGGGCCTTGCATGTGAATGACCCAGGTTCGATATCTGGCACCCCATGTGGTCCCCCCCAAGTCTTGCCAGAAGGGATCCCTGAGTGCAGAGTCAGGAGTAAGCCTTAACACAGCCAAATGTGGCCCCAAAACAAAAAATGATGTTGGCATTACTCATTGCCTTTTTTCCGAACCACAACACCCAATAGGAGAGAGAGAACAAAAGGGAAGGCCCTGCCACAGAGGCAGGGTGGGATGGGGGGGGATGGAGGGTGGGAGGGATACTGGGATCCGTGGTGGTGAGAAATGGGCACTGGTGGAGGGATGGGTATTTGATCATTGTATAATTGAAACCCAAGCACAAAAATTTGTAAGTCTACAACTGTACCTCATGGTATCTTACTAATAAAAAAAATTATGTTGCCTGCTCGGATCGGGGCTGAGTATCCTCCACCCAGATCCTCCAAATTCCAGTAGGCAGGGGTCACACCCACCAACTGGCCCCCTGGCACCATGTAATCCCATCAACGACCAAGACTCAGAGACTATAAAACCCAGCTCCCAGAAAAGAACAGCGCAGAGTCTCCTGCCCCCGCACCTGGCTGTCCTTGCAGGGGCCCCTTGGAAGGGAGTGGGTTGAGTTTCCCTCCCCACCCCGACCAGGGCTCCGGCAGCCGAAGACCTCCAGAACCAGCCACCACCATGCTGAGACCGCTCTTCACACGCATGAAGGTACTGGCAGAGGAACAAAGGCATGCGAGTCCCAGGGCTGAGATCTCCAAGTCTGCTCAGATCAATCCTCCACCCAGATCCTCCAAATTCCAGTAGGCAGGGGTCACACCCACCAACTGGCCCCCTGGCGCCATGTAACCCCATCAACGGCCAAGACTCAGAGTCTATAAAACCCAGCTCCCGCATTTGTGGCCACGCGACATCTTATTATCTCATTCCTACTTTGGACAAACTGGCAGGCTACCGAATGTAACCTGCCCACATGGCAGAGTCTGGCAAACTCCCCGTGGCATACCCAATATCACAAATACCAGTAACAATGATGGGTCTCATTCTCCTAACCCTGAAAGAGCCTTGAATATGGCACTTTTAAAAAATCTAGGGCTAGGATGAAGGAGACGTTACTGGGGCCTGCTCAAGGCAATCGATGAACAAAAGGATGGTCGTGATCATCGTGATGTTGGCATTGATCCCACCTGAAGAGTTTATTAGTATTGGCCTTCCAGAACTTCCTGTCAGCTACAGTTTACTGACCCATCTCTTCAAGATTATCAGGTTCAGTAGGGAGAGGAAGGCCAAAAGTCCTGACCAAGAGAAGCTCTCTGGCAAAACTGCAGCAGATACCTTAAAGGGTTATTTCTACTGGGGGGGGGGGGGGGGGGGAAGAAACTACTTGGGGGGGGGGCAAAGAGACAAAGGTGATAAGGGAGAAAACCATTAAAACATATCTGACAATTTGACAAAGGGGCAGCTATTAACTCAGAGAAAAAGAAAGGACTGTAGAAGGAAACAAACACAAAGAAACATACCTGCTACAGAAAAAAACTTGTTAAAAATCCTAGTTGGCCAGCTTGAAATTTAATCTGCCCTGGGTCCAGCCCTACCTTTGGCTTAAAGAAAAGTTTCAGTGCCTCATGGTCTTTTGTTTTCAAGGGAAGGCAAAAAAGGAAATACCTCCTGCTGGTCAGTCACAACCTGCTCCTTAAGACTCAGCCCATGGAAATACCACTCCCACACACATGCTCAAAACTCTGATTTGTATGCTACAGCCACTTAACTTTGTCATTCATTAGCTCTATGCCGTAGAGTGAATCTTGTCTACCTCCTCCCCTATTTCCTTAACTACTACCAGTGGGTTTCCACCAGACCCTCTAGCTACATCTCTACTACCACTTTGGTCTCCTGGAAATTGTGTTTATAAGACAAAATTACAAAGGCCCTATTTATTTCCACATTAAGTGGACACTAAACATGTGCTAAGCTAAACTGCTAGACCACTTTGAAGTCTGTTTTTACACCTATAAAACAGAGACTGCCATAAGTCCTTTCTCAGAGGAAGATTAAAATGAGAAGTCTGAAAAACTTTTTTATTGGGGGGGGTTGGGTAGAGTACACATAACACACCCCAGCAGTGTTCGGAGCTTACTCCTGGCTCTGTACTTAGGGATCACTCCTGGAAGGGTCAGGGAACCATATGGGGTGCTGGAAATCAAACCTAAGTAGGCTGTATGCAAAGTAAGTGTCTTACCCACTTTACTCTCTCCACCCCTCAAAAAGTCTTCATAATGGATTATATAGCACCAGGACTACACTTCTTTTTAGGAAAGCATCTTGAAGACTAAGATTAAGGCACATTTCCAGGATGGTCACCACTCCCTCTCTACTCGGAGGGACTGCTCTTCAGTCTGGTGACAGCCTAGAGCCAACGAGGACTACCTGCTCTTGTAGCCTGCTGTACCAAGAAACTAAAGCTGTAGGGGTGGAATGGATAGGAGGCCAACCACCTTGGCACAGAGATAGTATATATAAGTTCAGGCTTAAGTTATAACCAGAACCAAACCTCCAAGAAGATATATGACTTGCCATGAAATATCCTGGTCTAAATCTAGACAGAGGACTGACATGTTTTTAGTCCCAATTCCAGCTATGTCAAGGTATAAATATATAGTAGTTGACAGAAGGAATGTCATTTCCAGAAATATTTATAAATTCTAGTGTTAAAAAAGATTACTAACTCCAAGTACTCAGTAATGTAAAAGTCAATCTTTAGAACAACTCTTACAGCATCAATAGTCTCATTTTGCAGATGAGAAAAACTATGACCCAGAATGGTTAATTTGCTTAAGATCAAACAGCAGAAATGGTGGAACTCTAAACTCTGTTTTTGTGTCTGCACTACACTGTTTTTGATGTGGGAGGGTAGGGGCTGGGGTAGAGGAGTTGGATAATGAAGGGTAGGAAGAAAGACCCATCTATGTTTTTAGGAAACAAGATCTAATCTGCTGAAGGAACCTCAAAATATATGACATACCCAACACCCCATGGGAGGTCAGCAAAGATTAGTTTATGACCCTGGGGAGCAAGCATACCTCAGTGATGACTACATACCTACTATCTAGGTGAAAACGGCTACCAGCCCTGAAATTTCTATGGTCCATTTACTTTCTCTTAATTCCATGACTAAGACCAGGACTGTCCTTTAGGATCAGCTTCTTTTCGTTTGCTGCCACTTTTTTCCATTCTGCCACTTTCAGGGTTGGAAGAATCAAGGGCGACCAACACCCCCGGCACAGAGTTCCTTCTGAGAATGCATAGCCCTGAGTTTCTCCTGAGTTTCCTCCCACCAACATGGAACAAAAGAACCCACATAAGAAATGTGGTCCAGGACTATCTGCCCTACATTCCAAGCTATTTTAAGTCAGAAAGTTAAGTTTTGCTTTTAACCAGCTGAACAAGATCAGCCCTTAGCACAGAACTAAGGGTACATACTACCCAGGACCAATTACTAAGAGGAAGTCACAGGCTGTGCTCATCTCGGAGTGCCACAGCTGGGTGACAAGTCATTTTCAGAGAAGTGATCAAGGCATGGCTCTCTGGACATGTGACCACAACACATACCTTGAACAGTGACTGAAAGTAACAGCAAATAAGCAATTAATCTTGAGGTAATTATTCTAATTAATCCAATTAAAGTGTTTTATGATGCTCATTAACATTACATGGAACAAGAATAAAAGAAAAAAATGATATGAAGAGATAGTAAAACACATATTTCCCTATTGAACAGAATTAAGAGGGAATCCACCTGGGCCCAAGATGGGAAGGCTATGTAAAACAAAACATAAATCCTGCCAACTGGGTTTGGAAAGAACGAAGTCCTTCCAGAAGAGTCTCTGAGATGTGCTTTAAATACCCACATTTGAACACAGCTGAGTCAATGTTTGCCACATACTGTATCCAAATTGACAAATCTGAAACTGGGGACTGGAGCCATAGTAGTGTGGGTAGGGTGCTTCCTCACATGTGGCCGACTGGGATTCGATCCCCAACACCATATGATTCCCCGAGACTCATCAGGTGAGATTCCAGAATGCAGAGACTAGAGTAAGCCCTGAGCATCAATGGGTATACCTCCCTGCTTGACCCCAACAAATAACAAACAACAACAAAAACACCAAAAACTGTACTCCTGCCATGCTGCCTTGGAGAGATACAAACACAGTCACTACCCTGTCACTACTAACTGAAGTGTGAGTCATGTGAAATTGATTAAAATCCCATTTTCATCTGCAGAAAACCACTGTTTTCATAAATCCCTCCCTTCCAATCTGTAATTTAAGAGCTCTAGTCTGGGATGCAAACTTGAAAGGAAAAAAATCACTTTTTCCAAGCTCGGGGAAGACACCATGCAGTATCTTGAAGTGATATGTGACAAGTGTTCCACACCTGCACACCAAGTAAACTATTGTGATTAGTGAACAATGAAGTAAAACAAATGTACAGAGAGGTCCAGAATCCTAGAGCAATGGCTCCCCACTAGAGATAATTTTGAATCCCTAGGAAATATGGCACGTCTAGAAATATTTTTGGTTGTCATAGAGTTTTACTAGTATCTAGTGGATAGAAGGATGCAGCAGTATTGTACAATGCATAGGACAACTCCCACATAAGAATTAGCCAGGGAACAAGAATGTAGCATGGATTCAATCTCTAATACCACCAAAACAAAATAACATCAACAAATTAGTCCCAAATGTCAACAGTACTGCTATGGAGAAGCTCTAATTCTGAGCCTCACCAAGGCATGCCTCACCAGAATCTCCACTTCAAAACAAAGCTGAATTCTGTTTAGTTTGGGGCCACACCTGGCAGTGCTCAGGGCTTACTCCTGACTCTGTGATCAGAGATTACTCCTGGTGGTGCTGGGAGACCATGTGTGCTGGAGATGAATAAAACTCAGGTCAGATGTGTGCAAGGCAAGCACTCTACCTGTTGTACTACCTATTTCTCAGGCACCTAGAAATTCCATCTCAAGGGTTCTGTGTTATCAAAAAAATTTGGAAGCCCCTAGAGATGAAGGAATTTAACAAATGAAGGGCCCTTTAACTTCTAAATCTAAATAAGGAAGACAAAGTAATGCTTCCACTGACAGACTCCCTCAACTTTCTCATTAGGTGGCCTTGGATATCACTGGCTCTGATGCTATGTTAACATAAAAGGAGACCCAGCTGTTCAAGTCAAATCAGACAAATTAAAAGGTTTTATGACATTAAAAGGTTTCCAGAGACCCTACTTCTCCACATGATTGTGCCTGCAACACTCCACACAGTAAGAGATCAAGCTACTCACAGAATCTGCGTCCTACCTGTGCTAGAATTCCGTAGTCAATCAAGCCACACTGAGCAGCTGCTAAGAAGTTTTTAGGATTACTAAATACACTGGTAGGTTTGTTTCAGGGCTGAAAGCAGCAGCTTCCAAAAAAATTTTGTATCACATAGACAACAAAGGTATTCCAGCAAATAATCTGTTCAATCCAGAGAACTGATCTAATTCTCAGCAGGATCTGGGACATAATATGTGCCACCAGTCCAAGTTTTGCTGCTGCCATGACTATAAAATGAAATAACAGTAAAAAGACCAAATTTATCAAAGGCTGGAGCACATATCTGGCATAGAGAAGCCAGATTTAATTTATGGCACAGTATGTCCCCCAAAGCACCTGAGGGATAACCCTACTGGTCCCAGGACTTCTGGTGTAGCAGCAGTGAACCAATTATCTCTGGGGGAGACCATAGGACCCCGGTAAACACCACTTGAAGGATCCACTCTACCCCATCATCCCCTTCAAAAAAAGGTCAAGGATGTAGTTCAGCACTTGACTTGCACATGTAAGGCCCCAAGTTCTGTCATGGCACCTCCAAAAAAAAATTGAAAAGCTTTATTGTGCTTAACTTGGTCCTAACAGTCTTACAAAGAACTTTTAACAGAGTACTGAACTAACTATTCCTGACTGATTATATTATTACTCTATCGTCCAGGGAAGTCAAGTCTTCCTCATGGGAACAGAGAATGCGTGGGTATCAATTAGAAACTCTCAAGGGCTTTTCTCTGTTATTTTCTGTTAAGGAATCCATGACTGTGTTAAAGAAACCAAAGTTTTTTAAATTATTAATACAGAGTCCCTTTTTTGGTGGTACCAGGGAAGGCACCTGGGGGGTTACACACATGCAAAGCGTTTGCTCTCTCCTAGTCCCCAATTCAAAAAATTTTACTTTTTGGGAGGCTAAATCTGAGGGTGGGCTAAATCCGAGGGTGGGTAAAACCCCTGCTCCCGCAGGCACAGCATGCACTTGACGCCCTCACAGCTCCCTCCAGGGCCCCAAATTACTTTTTTAACGCGGACTTGGAAATGGACAACCAGAATGGCAAAGTAGCTACGATCCCAAAGGGAAAGAGAGAGACGGATCCCTAACACCTTAACCATCAAAGCAACAGGCCTTTTCGAGAGAACTCCAAGAAGTCCGCGCTCGGCCTGAGCTGCCCCGAGGATACTCCTTCCAAAGGGTTCCCGGCACCGCCCAGTTTCCTCACACCTGTTTGCAACGCCGCCAGCTCGCCCCGCCCGGCCCGGCCCGGCCAGGGGAGACTCGGGCGGCCGAGAAAAAGCGCGGGCTCCCATAGGCTGCGGCCCGGGCGCCGCCCCCTCCTCCCAGGTGGGTTACCTGAGCACAGTCACGCTCCCCCTGCGCACGGGCAGGGAAAGCACCGGTTCCGACACCCGGATGGGCTTGAACTGGAACTTGCAGCCGAAGCAGAGCGCGGAGTCGCTGAAAAAGGACACGGACACGATGGGGCGCTCGAAAATGTGGATGGGGTCGACATGCGACACGATGCAGCCGCCGGGCTGGTAGTCGTTGATGACGGCGCTGTTGACGAAGCCCTCGGGGATGACGCGGTGCTCCACCAGCTTCTGGATCACCAGCTGGTGGACCCACTCGGGGATCTCGTCCACGTCGCCGGGCGGGTAGAGGCGCTCCTGGCCCGGCCCGCGCTTCTGCAGCTGGGCGCCGTACGTGTAGCCCTCGCCGAAGAAGTACTTGTTGCGCAGGGGGGCCCGGTCCACCGTGTGCTCGTTGTACAGGCCCTTCTCGGCGCGGGACACCACCTCGTCGATGCGCGCCTCGATCTTGGCACACTCGTCCTGGCTGAAGAGGCGCATCTGGCGGATGCCGCTCTTCACCTTGCGCGCCTCCTCCTCCTTCTGCAGCTGCTGCTCCTCGTAGTCGCTGCGCTCGGGGTCCGAGTCCTCCTGGTACTTGCGCTTCGCCCCGGGCACTGGGTACGGCTCGGCGGCGGCCGCGGCGGCGGCGGCGGCGGCCACGGCGGCCGCGGCGGCGGCGGCGGCCTCCCGGCTGCCAGCCTTGTAGTTGTCCCGGGACGTCATGGACTTGAGCTTCTCACGCAGGTCCGTGTAACCGCTGGCGGCCGCCATGGCCCCCGCGACGCTGCTTCAGGGTCCTCCGGGGCGGGCGGGCATGGCTCTCGGGGGACGCGCCCGGGGGACCCGGGGGGAAGAGAGGCTTCAACGCCAGGCCCCCATGCGAGGCTGAAGAACCCGGCGAGGGGCGTCGAGAGCCGGGCGCGAGGGTCAAGCCTCAGAGGCGGCGGGTCAGGCAGCGGCGGCGGCAACGCGGTTTCCTCCTCCTCCACCTTCTCCACGTCCCGGGGGGCAGGGGCGCCGGCAGCGCCTCATGCCGCGGAGGGCAGCTGAGGAGGCTCGGCCCGACTCCCCGACAGACCCTCCGACGCCCTGCTCGACCCGCACTTTAAAGCTCTCCTCACGACGTCACGAGCTGCCCGCCCGACGTCCGCCAGCGCCGCTCCTCAGCGGGCTTCTCAGTGCGCACGCGCAGTGTTGCTAGCCACCGCGGCTCCGAGCGCACCGAGCATGCGCGCGCGTGCGGCCCGGGTCGCCGGAGGAGCGCGCGCAAGCGCAGACTGGACCGTTCGTGTTTGGGCCCCCGCCCCTCCCCCACTAGCTGAAGGGCTTCGAGGGAGCACCCTCAAATAACAACCTGCGTTCACACCGCGCCACCTCCGCGGCCGAAGGGCTCCCTCCACGGGGGTGCGATCACGCTGTCAACGCTGCCGCTAAGCTGTGTCACGGCATCGTCCGATCGCGCGCAAACGCCTCAGCTTCCAGCGCGCAATCACCGGGGAACCGCCACAACCTAAGCTTGTCCCGTTACCGCCCCCTTTGGCGCTCTCACTTTTTCATTGGGCCACCGGCCATCCGCCGGGCGGGCCCAGATGGGAGCTCCCGGAAGTTGGTTGGTAGTTACAGCTGTCTATCAGATGGTTGCCATGGCTACTGCGTCCGTCACTTAATTAGCGGCCGGGTGGGCAACGAGGACCCCTAAAAGGTGAACGGTTGACTAAAGAAGTGCCTGAGCGGCGAGCCTAACAGAAGCCAGCCCTCAGAGATACTTGAAATTTCTGAAACCCGCCTAAACTGCTCAGACTTGCGAGGCGGAGAGCGCCAGACCTAAGCTCCGAATCCAGACTGCGATGGCTGCAGAGGCCGAACATTTTCCCTGCTCCCTGCTCCCCCTCTCCCGCCGCCACCTCCACCGCGGTCGGGATTGTAAACGTTCCACGAGTCACGTCCTGGTGGCGTCGAGCCCGTGCGGACGTGGGGACGCGTCGCGGGTTGATGTAGTTCTTCCTTGGACTAGCGAGGGCTGTGGGGACACTTCTTTCAGGGATGTAGAGGAAAACTTTCAGGCAAAGAGGAGGCGAACGGATAAAACAAAGCTATAGCTAGGAGAGACCATTCAAATCCTCTGGGGCAGTGTGCCCGGGTAGGATGCGTGGCGTGAGCAGGGAAACGGATTTCTACTCAAAAATGTCCCAAGATTCCCCAGGATAAAATAGATCTTCGCTAGACCCAAGACCTGTTGGCAAAGTCTCCTTGCCCCTCTTTGCGAACACGGAGCCCCAGATGGACCCAGCACTGCCAGGCAAACATTCCCGGTTATATCCGCGGGCCTTTGTCCAAACTTTCTTCCACTAGCAATGCCAGCTCACTTTCCCCTTTGTCTTTCATTTTTGTTTTCTGAGGCCCTCTCCTTCTAGCACCGTCTCAGATTCCCCTGAAAGGAAAGGAATCTTGTCCTTCGTGAGCTGGCACCCGAGCTGCCTTCAGTTTCACTCCCCCAGATCAAGCCCTTTTACCCCACCCCGCCCTAGATCTGGGCTTAAGCTCTAGGCTCTAGAAATCTGCTAAATCCGGGTTTGAATCTTGTCCTCAGGACAGGGTATATGACCTGGGCAGATGATTTCCTCTCTCTGATCCTCAGCGGTGAAATGGAGATTAACATTAGTACCCACCACATATGGTGTTGTAAGAATGCAAGAGAATTATGCACAGGCTTTTTGGATTTGTTGCGGGAGGGTCACACCTAGTGATGCTTAGAGGCCACTCCCACTGGAGCTCAGGAAAACTTCTGCAGTGCCAGAATAGAAGTGAACCTGGAGGTGGCAAATCAACTGCTCGGCCATTCACCTACCTTTCTCTGCCCAAGTCATGAATGACTCAACAGTGTGATTTGCCCAAGTCAAGCAGAGGGGCTTGCTGTCCCCAAATCTGGGCCTCAGTTTCTACATCTATGAACTTGGGGTCTGTGTTGAGAGGTGTGGACAAAACAGCAGAGCCTAGAACTTGAGCCAGTGCCCTCAAGCTGACCGCTGGGTCCTTTCCAAGAAACAACAGCAACCAATGCAGGGGAATGGGATGGGGTAACCCTTTAGTAAGTTTGGCTCCAGTCCTTTTCTGTCACTGCTAGCATTCTGGTGAGAAGATGGACAGCTAGCAATGACCAGAGTTGCCAACTACCTGGGCAGAGCCCCCATGCATAAGGAGAATCAGCTGTGAGATCTCTCAGACCCTTTGGAAGTGCAGCAGGCACAGAGAAATGCTGGCCCAGTGCAAAATGACAAGGACCTAGGGAGGAGAAGCTGAAGGCAGGCTCAGAGGCTAGATCCTGAAAGCAAGAAGCATTACATTTCAGAGAGGATCTGGGAGGCCAGCCAGAAAGAGAAACCAGCCTCTGAGCAGCCCTCTGGAAGGGGGGTTGGGAGGAAAATAGCCATCGGATTGATCTGGCCTGTTTGACAGAACTCACCACCTCAACTATCAGAGGCCTAGAGGAGACTCACTTAGTGCTCTTCCCCTGGTATAAACAGATTACAGCTTCTCTAGGTCTCTCTTGGCCCTCCCAGACTGGAAACTTCCCTCCCAGACTGGAAACTTCCCTGTGCTCCCCCATGCCTGTGTTCTGGAGCTAGAACCCAGAATGGTCTGATTGGCGTCCTGTGGTGACCAGCATCTTCTACACATCTGGCTGTGGAGTGTGTACTCCACACATTTAGTTGTACTTGCCATACTTGCCAGGGGAGGGTCTCCTTTACTTCTTGTGCCCATGCCTATTCTGGTCTATAGTGTGTTGGGGGGGGGTCCCTGTGGTACTCTTATGTGATTGCCAGGGCACAAACACTTTGGCCAAAGTGTTCACGTCTTTTAGTAGCACTGTAGCACTGTCTTCCCGTTGTTCATCAGTTTGCTCGAGCGGGCACCAGTAATGTCTCCATTGTGAGACTTGTTGCTGTTTTTGGCATATCGAATACATCACGGGGAACTTGCCAGGCTCTGCCATGTGGGCGGGATACTCTCAGTAGCTTGCCGGACTCTCTGAGAGGGGTGGAGGAATCGAATCCAGGACGTCTTTTAGTTATTGGTGCTCAATTAGGCATTACAGCTTCTTAGCTGTGTGCTCACACATACCTGCTGTGGGGCTGGAAACTGTTTGTGGCAGAGCTGCCGGGATCACACTTGGTACATCTGGAATTGAACTCGAGAGCTTATGCTTGCAACACAGATGCTCTAAGGCACTGAGCTATCCTGGGACTCCTGTAGTTGTCTAATTCTAAGCCATTTGCAGTGCCTAGCAATCGCCTAGTGTGTCATGCTTAGTAGGAGTTGGTGAATAAAGAAACCCTTCTGATTCCTGATCCGAACAGTATGCCCCAGAGACCTTTTCCTATCTTCCACTCCCAAACTTGAAACTTGGCGTCCCCCCTCCATCATCCACAAGGCACCAAACTTTTCCATCAATATTCTTTTTTTTTTTTATTCAAGTGACAAGCTTTTTTTTTTTTTTGATTTGTTGTTGTTGTTGTTTTTTAGGCATTGTTCGAATCCCAGGAGATACAGCAAGGCACAAATACCATTTTCTTTGAACTAGGGCTGAACTGTTCACTTCCATCCCCTCCATTTAGTCCTGGGAAACTTCAAATTTCAATCCCCAAGTCCCATTCTCTGGGACACATTTCCCAGACTCTTCCCTCCCAGTTCCTGACACAAAGTCTCCACTATACCACTGTCAAACCTTATGTGACTCACCCAATGGCAGTGACCTGGGGCTGGGGCTCTTCTAGGAGTGTAGAATGGAGGGACAGGGTGTATAGAGGTAAGGGCAGGAGTCTCTGCAGTAAGCTCCCTTCATGGGCAATGGGGGAAGGGGGGATTGCAAGTGGGCCCCCAGTTCCAACCTCGTCCCCCGGGGCTTGTTTTTCCCAGTCACTCAGCAGTTCCAAGGAGGAAGAGTTGCTAGGCTGACCTTTCTTGGACCTCTTATTTGCACAGAACAGGCTGGAGGCTCAGGAATCCCAGCTGAGCTGCAGCCTGGCCGTTGGGGGTGGGGGAGGGGCCCTGAGGGGCTGAAATGTGGAGCTGTAGCAGATTTGAACTGCAGACCCTACCAGAACCCTACGGTGAAGAGGCCACTGGTATGAGAACTTGTTTCTCTGGTGGTGATGTCGGTGGGCCCCACGGGTGACTTAAGTGAAGCAGGGAGGAGGACAATCACTTTCTCCCCATCCGCCTCTGCCACCCGGGACCCAGGGTTACGGGTTCTTGTCTTGCCTGGCAGAAAGGAATTTCAGGAGTAGATGAGCAGTGAAATTAGTTTTTATTTGAAGGGTTTTGAAGGGAAGGAGGGAGATAAAGTGGGAGAGAGTGGAGAGTAACCTGCTCAAAAGAGAGCCCGGGCTTCTCCAAGGGCATAGAGCCCCTACACACATCTCAGCATATGAAAGTACACATCTCAGGACGGGAGATGCGGGCGACACATGTGCTCAGGCAGCATATGTGGGTGCTTCCTTTGTTCAAGGTGGCCTTTATAGGGTTTCTCCAACCTGTCCCCATGTGGGGCTTCTACCTAGGTAAAAGTACGTTGCTAGGGAGATTACCAAAGAGGTTGCGAGTGGTGATGGTCTTCGAAATTCCTGTTCTCACTTTTGTTTCTGCAGGAGCTTCTGTTGGAGGGGGGTGGTCAGGTGTCAAAGGAACAGCTTTGGAGTTTCTGGTTAGTCTCTTTTGGTCTTTAATTGGTCTCAATTTCTTCTGCCGTCATCTCTGTAGACGTCTCCATGAGGTCAGGGCCATTGCTTCCCAGGAGATTTACTGCCATTGCCTTGGGAAGGGGCCTTCCCTATCTGCCTACCTACCTCAGTGGGAGGCCGCATGGACCCCACCCATGAGACTGGAGCTCTGAAAAGGCCTTAGCTGATGGTGAGGCCTTGTGCACATTGGACCCAGTGTGCAGGCTGGATGCTGCTCCACTTTGGATTGGGCTCCTCCGGTTTCTTAGAACTTGGGCTGCTCCTCAAGATTCTGGGCCCTTCCAGGTGTCACTGATCCTGAGACACCCAGGAAGCTCCATGGGGGCTAGCTACATCTGGGGCTGGGGGTGGGGTCAGAGCAGCGTAATCTCGCTGGGGGGCAGTGTAAGCCGCTTCTCCCGGGCACTGAGGAGGTTCTCCACGTGCACGGCCACCACACGGCACAGCTCCAGGCCCTGCAGGAGAGAAAGTGAGGGCTCAAAACCAACACACTGCATCTTGGGGTGCAGTGTGGATGGGGGAGAGGTGGAGATCCCAACTTCAACTCCCCTTCCCCAGGACCCTAAGAAAAGGGGAATGTGAAACCATAGGACAAATGCTGGGCTATGGACCGGGAGGTGAGCAAGCAGGAGACCTCTGATCATCAATCAGCTTTGCTGAGCATGAAGACTGAGACCCCAGACCAGGCTCTCATGTCCTTGCGCTCAAGGGCCTTATCTGGAGGGCCTCAATTTACCCGGGCTTGCCTCACAGGTTCATTTTATGAGTTTGTTTTGTGTCTGCAGTGTTGGGGATGAAACCCAGAGACACATATGCAAGACAAGCGCTCCATTGCTGAACCGCATACCCAATCTTCATGAGATTTCATTGCATATAAATCTTTAGATTTGAAAAAGATTAGCCAGGGGGCTGAGAATGTAGCTCTCACACATGTGTGAGGGCAGTTTGCTTGCATGTATGAGGAGGGAGGAGGAGAAGGAGGAGGAGGAAGAGGAGGAGGAGGAGGAGGAGGAGGAGGAAGAGGAGGAGGAGGAGGACTACTACTACTACTACTACTACTACTTTGGGGGCCGGAGCAATAGTACAGCAAGTAGGATGTTTGCCTTTGCACACGGCCAACCTGGGTTCAATCCCCAGCATCTTGCAGTCCCCCAAGCACTGCCAGGAGTAATCCTTAAACTAAACCAGGTGTGATACCCTCCCTGAGCACCCTCTCCCACTAAAAAGAAAAAGATTAGCTCAGCCCTCTATTCTGGAGTGACTCATACATCCTAATTTGGGGTGTGTCATTTCTCCATCGGATTCTCTCTCTTGTCCTCCCGTTGTTCATCGATTTGCTCGAGCGGGCCCAGTAACGTCTCCATTTTTTTTTTTTGAGACTTGTTGTTACTGTGTTTGGCATATTGAATACGACACGGGTAGCTTGCCAGGCTCTGCTGTGCAGGCGAGATATTCTCAGTAGCTTGCTGGGCTCTCTGAGAGGAACGGAGAAATCGAACCTGGCTCGGCCAGGCTGGCTGCGTGCAAGGCAATTGTACTACCACTGTGCTATCGTTCCAGCCCAATTTATATCTAAATTATTTTTAACCCCTCAGAATAATTAAAAGTATTTCCTAAATATAACTATTGTACTGGAAAAAAGGAAACTTTTTTGGGCGCAAGGACCGAGTCAATAAATAGTAAAACATCTGTGTGCTGCCCTGGTTACTACCTGGCCTCTACCACCTGGAATAAGCCCTGACCTAGACTCAGGGTTCCCAACTGGGGTGGGAGATGGATGAAAGGCAGACTGGGGAAGAAATTGTGGAAAATCCATCTGTAAGTGCGGTTCTCGGTGTCATAATCTCCCAGGAATTTCCCAGGGGCTGGCAGAAGCCATTCTGAGGGGTTAAAAATAATTGGAACTGCACTTCCTGTGCATTACGATGTGCCAGGCATTGTCCCAGGTTCCACTTCTTTAGCCCTCCAGTGTCCCTGTTTGCCGCAAATGCTAAAAGATTCCATTGCACAGGAGAGAAAACCGAGGCCAGAACCAGGATGCCACTGTTCCAGCACTCACAACCACACTGTGTTCGCAACTTTGTAGTTTTTGTTTATCTACCGGTTTTGAGGGCTACTTCCCTGCTCCATGCTCAGGGATCACTCCTAACAGTACTCAGGAGATCATGCAATGTCAGATACTGAACCTAGGGCTCTGGTCTGCAAAGCACGTGCTGAAGCCCTTTGAGCTCTCTCTCCAGCCCCCCATCGCTTCTTGCACAAGTTGATGGCTGTGCCCGGCCCTGTACTGGGAGCCTGCCTTGACTAATTAGATCACTATGCGCACGATGATTCTCCTCTCTAGTATATACTTCTAGCATATATGCATCTCACTTATCTTACTTGATAAGATACGGAGTTCCCTAGAGGTCCCTTCACTAGCCTGAGGTTGTGGGGATGGTCTTTTAGCTATCAGCTGTATCACTGCTGCAGTCAAACATTATCTCCTCCTGAAAACCCTTCCTGATTACCTCCTAGATGGCTCAGGTATGCCCTTCCATTACTGAAACAGGATTTATTGGAGAGATTCTTTAACCTCTCCTTTCTCTCTAGGGGGCTCTGTGAGGGCCAAGGTCGATGGGATCTCAGTCACTTCAGTCTTTCTGAGGCCTATGCAGAGCCTTCTACATTGATACGCCAGGCATTGTGCTGGGAACACAGTGGACAGAGCCCTGGCCTCCTAGGGTTGGAATTCTGGTGGAGAGACACAAAGCACGAATCACTAAGTTGTGGGGATGAAGTGATCGTACAGCAGGTAAAGCACCTGACTTGCATGCGACTGACCTGGGTTCAATCCCCATTTCCCATATGATGTCTCATGTTCCACCAGGAGTGGTCCCTGAGTACAGAGCCAGGAGTAATCCCTGAGCACTTCCGGGTATGGTCCCCAAAGGAAGAAAACAAACCAACCCTAAGTTATAATGAAACTACCGAGATTGAGAATTAGTGGGGGGGGGGGGCAAGAAAGGCTTCCAGAGATGTGATGTCGCTGCTGAAACCCACACAAAAGAACAGAGGGATGAGCCAGGTGCTAGACAGGCCCACCTGCTCTAGCTGCAGCTGCATGGTGCGCTGGGCTGCCACATCCCCCAGAGAAATCTCCACATAGGGGTAACTGGAGCTGGCCGTGGGCCGCTGGGTCCGCGTTGACTGGATCTCTTTCAGAGGGAACTTCGCTACAAGCTCCTGGGGATAAATGGGGAGCAGACAGGCTTGAGGAGAGAATAGCTTTGCCCATCCTTCCCCATCTCCTGCATATCTGTAAGAGATAGGACATGCCAGTTTGTATGAAGCTCCTCAGTGACTTGCTGTGTGACCTGCAAGGACCAGGTTGCTTCTCTCTGAGCTTGTTTTCTCACCTGTGAAACTGATCCCACCAACACCAGTGCACATCTCCAGAATGCCAGGCACCATCCCTCAAACCTGGGATCCTGGGGTGCAGCAGATGCCAGCAGGGTCAAGGGCTTCACATCAAAACTGCTGCTTGAGAGTAACCTTAGATCACATGCAGGCGAAGCTGGACCCATGAGCTAACTCTACTGAATACAGGGTGACACTGGATAGACGTCCCAGCTCCTGTGCCCCAGGATAGAGGGCCTCCTATGAGCACCATGTTGCCCCCAGTCTTCCCAGGCAGGCTCAGCACCCGCTCCTGCATGGGAACTTGTTTGCTGAGACAAGGGGAGCTCTCAAGGTATGTGAGATGCCCCTTCCTAGACTCCCTTCCTTGTCACAGCACGTCCAGAATCACCTCCAAATAAATCACGTGTCCTGTAGTTCCTATCTCTGTCTGCATCCGGGGGAAAAACTCAAAAAGGTAGTGACTGTCCCCTTTGTTTTGGACCGAACTGTGTTTGCCCCAAATCTCTATGTCAAAGCCTTAATCTCCATCACATCAGAATGTGACTATTCTGAAAATGAGAGCTTTAAAGAGACGACAAAGCTCAAACCAGTTCTTTAGGGTGGCCCCTTATCCAAACTGGTGTCCCTATAAAATGCGGTCTGGATACACAGATACCAGGGGTATAGGTACAAAGAGAAGTCATGTGAGGCTACATGAGGTCACGCACGAAAAGGGGGTGGTCATCTGCAATCCTAGGACAGAGGTGTCTGAGAAAACCAATCTGGCTGGCACCTTGACCTCAGACTTAAAGCCTCTAGAGCTGTGAAAAATACACTTCCGCTGCTGAAGCCTGTGTGTGGCATTTCCTTCCCGTCAGCCTGAGCTGGCTCACATATTATTTGAATGCTTAGCCTGGGATGGACCTCATTTCACCCTCCCAGTGCTTTCTGGAGGAGGAGAGGAGGCTCTGAGAAGGAAGGTAGTGAGTGGTGGTGCACAGGATTCCATAGCCTTGGCCCTAGAGAGAGTGGGGGCAGAGAAAGGGGCAGGCACTATGCCAGGCTGAGGCCACTCACGTGGGTTTCTGTACTGAGAAAGTTGAGGCCATTATGGTTGACGGCAAGGATGCAGGGGGCTGGCACCGCTGAGTTGCTGCAGCTCTGGATGAAGAAGAAGGAGGAGCCGAACATGGGCAAGGCACTGAGAAGTCCTGGAGAGGGGCGAGGGGCAGTCACCAAGGCAGGTACTGGGCAGCAGAGACAGCCAGGGTCCAGAGACCATGTCTTCTCCAGATTCAGTTCCACACAGCTGTCCGCAGTCCAGGTGTATTGCTATCACTCTGGCTTCCCTCTCTGTCTCCATATTTTCCTTTGTCCCTGATCACAGCCATCACTTCATCTCCAGCTCTCGTTGAGCTCTCGTCTCCCCACCCCAGCCCCCTGGCCTTGGAAACAGTTCTAGAAAGGCATCCTCTCCAAGTAGGTGCTCAGGTTGGCTGGCAGCAAAATCCCTCCACCCCCACTTCAGCACCTCCTATGCAGCAGCCCCCCAGTTCCCAAGTCCTACCCAGAAACTGGGCTCGAGCCTGGTGGGGGCTGAGTGCCTGCGTCTGCTGCCGGTGCTGGCTGACTAGATTGAGCCAGGACGAGCTGGACACGGTGTAGTAAAGCTGCGCCGGAATGTATTCCTGGACCTCCCGCCTGCATGTGGAGGGAAAATGCCCCTGAGTGCCCGTGCAGGCAGCACCTGGTGCCACCGGTTTCCCAGGAGACTGCACGGGGCACTGGGGAGTGCAGGAGAATGAGACGAACACATCTCACACCAGAGGTGCTCAATGATGCCAATCAGTATCACTAGGCTCCATGTTGGAAGAGGAGTGACTGATGCTGAGAGGGTGAACTGTGACACTTGGTCCAGAGTGACTCAGTGGCTGGAAGGCTAGAAGGGTTCTCGCTACCTCTGTCAGGAGCACAGGGAGATGGTGAAGGAGTCAGGTGGGAGAAACACAGAGAAGAGGAGCCCTGGGCTCTTGGTTGAGCCCTGCAGCCCCTTTCGGCACCTTCACCCCATCCCTTCTCCCCGATGCACTCTAGCCCCTTTGCCTTTAAGGACATTCAAAAACCATCCAGAGGGGCCTGAGTGACAGTACAGCAGGTAGGGCATTTGCCTTGCAGGTGGCCAACCTGGGTTCGATTCCCAGCATCCCATACGGTCATATGGTCCCCCAGCACCGCCAGGAGTAATTCCTGAGTGCAGAGCCAGGAGTAACCCCTAAGTATCGCTGGGTATGGCCCAAAAAGAAAAAAAAATCATCCAGAGGGGGCCAGAGTGATAGTACAGCGAGTAGGGTTTGGTACCCAGAGTGATAGTAAACCGACCTGGATTTGGTACCTGACACCACATATGGCCCCCCGAGCCTGCCAGGAGTGATGCTTGAGTACAGAGCTAGGAGTAAGCCCTGAGCACCAATGGGTGTGACTAAAGAAAAAATTTAAAAGCATCCAAAGCAGTTCCAACCATTCCTGACGTTCCCAACACTGGGCTGCCCAAGCAGACAGGGAGCCCCTCTCTCCCAAGAACCCTCTCTCCAGGAGTATCTTCCTTTTGCAAGGCTAGGCTAAAGCCTCTCACAGTGTGGTTTCTGGGCCCCACAGCAATAGCTGGGCAAACTTCTGTGAGCCAAATAACCTCATGGGTCCTTGTTTCCTTAGGTGGAAATAGGAAAACAAATGTGGTTGAAAAGATTAGCTGAGAAAATATATGCAGAGCACTGCGTGATTATTATTTTTTTTGTAGAGGGGGTGATTATTTTCATGAAGTACTTTTCCCTTAAAATGGTAACACAAAAAGAGCCTTCTTTATAAATAACCCTGCACTGTATAATACCTTGTACATAATCTTTCAGTGGTGCTCAGGGGTTATTCCTGACTGTGCTCACGAGTGACTCCTGTTAGTGCTTGGAAGACCATATGCCGCACTGGGGATGGAACTGGGGTCGGTCACATGCAAGCCCAGTGTCTCATCTCCTGTACTATCTCCAAGTCTACGAACATCAGTTTAAGGACAATCTAACACCCAGGATTTAACCCAGGATTTCCTCTGTGGATGGAAACTGAGGTTGCTGTGTAGGTAACACCAGGGTGAATATTTCTGTGGTGAAATCCTTCTGTATAGTCATACATTCACAGAAAGCATGTGTATCCTGAAAGGTGTTTTTTCCCAATTAAATTTGATCTGAGCTCTTAACATCAGCCAGAAGCAACCTGTGGGAGGAGGCAGGGTCCCTGCTCATATGATGATGAGGCAGGAGAATTCAGCCCCAAAACCAGGAAGCTCCTTCCCAGACTGCCCAGCTAGTGTGAGAGGGATCACAGCACCTTGAGTGACTCCTCACACCAGGGCAAGCACTCACACACTGGGCAGGTAGAAATGGTCCTTGGCCCGGTGTTGCAGGGATGCTAGCTTGGACACTTGCTGTAGCTGCAGCTGGCTGGGCTGGCGGGCGGGCACACTGCTGAAGAGGCCTTTCAGGTAGTCAGGCAGGACCTGTGGGAGTACTCCGTGAACGATGCAGGCAGGCACGTGACTGACCGAATGACCGCAGAGAGGACACACACACACACAACTGAATGAATTCATTTCCATTCACTTGTGGGGGGTAAGGGTTTGCATTTCCTTGGCTTTGGGGAACAGTGAGAGACATTTGAGAGTGAGGCGTGTAGTCTCTGGCCTGGAAGCCCACCTGACCGTTCCCAAAGAGACCTGGAGAAGTGAGCAACAATGCTGGTCTGCAGAATTGTCTGCAGGGACATGGCTTCTGAAAACATTCACCAAGGTCACAAAAGCAGATGTCCAGGCTGCACCCCAGACACCAGATCTGGGATATGAACAGTGAACAGATCTGGGATATGAACCACTGGGAGCCCACAGGCCACACCCTGACTAGAATGGTGCTTCAGTGCTTTTCAACCTGTACACAGGCACCCTGGATGAAAACCACTGGATCAGATAATCTGGGTTTGCAGTCAACAGCGACACCATGTGGCCAAAGGCTCTGAGCGACCCTTTTCTGTCCTGAGAATTGCAGGAGCCTTGGCACCATTTCTATAATAACACGCATTCTCCACCTAATCACTTCCATAAATATTATCACAGAAGGAGAGAACCCAGAGTTTTTCAACTTCAGCACCCTAGTGAAGTTTATTATGTTAAGGTCTAAAGGGGAATAACACAAAGACAAAAGCAATAGCACCAGCCAAAGCCTGCTCGAACCTCAGCGCAAGGGAAAGGTCAAGAGAGTAAAGGAAGAGGAAGCCAGGAGGAAGGGAGTGAGCAACAGTCTCCGGGAAGAAACAGCCTTCCTGAAAGGGGCAGCCTAGTTGGGGTGGACTCAGGGTTGCAGAAGAGCAGAAAGGGCCAGCCAGGTAGATAGACAGCACATGCAAAGGCCCAGGAAGGAGGTGGCAAGAGAAATAATAGTTGACTCCCTCAGGAGGCCACAGCAGAGGTTTCAGTGTCAGGAATGTCAGTGGGGCACAAATCCTGAAGGCCCCAAATACCCAGACCATGGAGTCGGCCCTTCATGGCCCCAGGGAGCCTAAAAATTCGAGAGCAGTCAGGAGCAGCCTCGTGTTGGACGGCGCTGACCTGGTTGTAGTGCATGGTCACATACAGCTCATTCTCAAACTTGAGTGGCTGATCCCAGAGTATGCGCCGGAACCAAAGCATGTAGCCACCGTCAACCTGTTCCATCTCTGAGGCCACATCCAGGATGTAGGCACGGCGGCTGAGTGGGCATACGTGCTGACCTGCAGAAAGTGGGGTGCGGCTGGATGGGGGGTTGGTGAGGGAACACAAGAGATATGCCAGACCCAAGTTGAGTTCCCTCCCAAGGTTGGATATAGTATTTGTAAGTGTGCTCTCCTTTCTGGCGGACAGGGCATGTTCAGATTTATTGAGGGCCACAGAAGGGAATGAAAACCTACAGGCAATGCCCTGGTCTCCCAAGGCATATGCCTGCAGAATGCACTGGAGGGCAGCATGCCAGGTTCTTGGAACATGCCTGGGAGATGCTCAGACAAAGTCCAGACCCTCTTAGGAGGGTGGGAAGCACAGAAGCCCAGGTCATGAGACAGTGAGTGCCTTTCTGCAGAGTTTCTTTGGGGGAGATTCTTTGCTGAGGCTCCGGAAAGGTGTGGGGTAGGCAGGACTAGAGTCTGACAATGAGTGGGTCCGAGCCTGTGAGGGGTTTAAGACTCCCTCTCCTCCACTGGCATTTCTGTAGGAAACACCTTTTGTTTGGGGGGGTCATACCCAGCACTGCTCAGAAATTGCTCCTGGTGGTGCTCAGGAGACCAGGTGATGGCAGGGATCAAATCTGGGCATGGAGCATATAAAGCACGTGCCCATCCTTGTGCTCTCTCTAGCCCTAAGGAACTCGGAAGGGACGTTTTCCCAGGAAACAAGCTCCATAAAAGCACGCCCCGGGTGCTTCTACCTGCTTTCACTGAACAGGCCCCAAGGGGCAGAGGGAGGAATCAGAGATTCTACAAATGCCCATGCTGGTTTATCATTTGATCACTTGACATCCCGTTACTCATCGATTTGCTCGAGCAGGCGCCAGTAACGTCCCCATTCGTCCCTGTCACATGCTAGTGTAGCCCAATGGCATCTGCTCGATGTAGGAACACGAAGAGCCTCAAACCTATCATTCAAGGTCTTGAGGAAGAAGTCTGGCCATCTTGTAGGTGGGCGACCATGCAATCTTTTCGACGTCCCATGGAATCCAGTCAGTAATGGCTCCAATCCAGCAGTCATCTCCAAATCTCATTACGTGTCCAGCCCATCTGATCTTCGACGCCTTGGCAAACGAGACAGCATCCCTGATTCTTGACCGTCGATGGAGGTCAGAACTCCGGATTCTTTCTCTTATTTGAGTGAAGCGTGATACTCCAAGCATAGCTCTTTCAATTCCTCTTTGGGAGACCCGAATAGCATTCTCATCCTGTTTTCATAGGGTCCAGGTCTCTGAGGAAGAACAGAGGAATCAAAGAGATGTGCTCAGAGCCGGAGGTTCTTTATCCTCTTAGCTATTTCTTCAACGCTTTTGAAGGTGTTCCAAGCTGCTCTCTTCCTCCTGCGCAACTCAAGTGCCAGGTCATTCGTCATGTTGACTTCTTGACCTAGGTACACATAACTGCTACATTCGGAGATGTTCATTCTATTGAGAGTGAATGGAACATCAGGAATGAGACTATTTCTCATAAACATTGTCTTCATGAGATTCAGCTGTAGTATGACCTTTCCACACTCACGGTTGAAGTTGGCCAGCATTTGTGCCGCTTGGCTGATGTTTGGTGTTATGAGAACAATGTCATCAGCGAAGCGGAGGTGGTGTAGTTGCTAACCGTCTATCTTCACTCCCATTCCTTCCCATTCCAGTCATCGTATGACGTCCTCAAGGTTGGCACTGAAGAGTTTCGGTGAAGTGGTATCATCCTGCTGAACCTCCCTCTTGACATGGATGATCACTTCTTTGTAGAATGCTGAGATCCTGGTAGTGAATCCGTAATACAGCTCACAGAGGATTCTAATGTACTGAGTTTGAATACCCTGTTTGGCTAGGGCTTTGATGACTGCTTCAGTCTGAACAGAATCAAAGGCCTTCTTTAAATCAATGAACGTTAGACAGAGCGGCATCGTGAGCTCCCGAAAAACCTCAATAAGCTTGGTTATCGTGTGGATATGGTTGATCGTGCTGCAGAACCCGGCTTGCTTGCATGGTTGTCCTTCATCTAGTGTTCTGCCAATCCTATTCAGAATGACTCGAGTGAACAGCTTGTAGATGACAAGACAACAGGCAGATCGGGCAATAGTTGCCAATATCGTGGATGTCTCCCTTCTTGTACAGTAGTACAGTCCTGCTGGTTTTCCATTGGGATGGAACCTTGCATTCAGACAGGTAGTATGTGAAGAGCCGAGCCAGTGTATTGATGAGTACTGATGGCAGGTTCTTCAGGTGTTTTGGTCTGACCTTGTCTGGGCCGGGTGCTGTTCGTTTCTTCGAAGACGAAATGGCGTGTTGGATTTCAAAAGGGAGAATGTTGGAAATGACATATCCATCCTGTGGAATTTGGTATGCAGGCAGGTGGACATGGCTATTGAAGAGATCTGAGTAGAAGTCATGGATAATCTTCTCCATTGCTCTTCTGGAAGATGTAATAGGTCCATCAGGATGTCGGAGGGCAGTCATCTTGGTCTTGTGGTTGGCGAAGGACAAGCGGGCGTTGCGAATGCTTTTCCTAGCTTCTGCCACATCTGCCAGCACTGCTGCTCTTCTCTCTTTGAGATCTTCCTTTATCGATTCTCTGCACTGCTTTGTGAGCTCGGACTTCGCTTGCAGTTGCCTGAGGCTTGTGCCAAGCTACGTTGGTGAACAAGCTCAAGAGTTTTTGAAGACAGGCGTCTTTTTGTGGCTATCTCTCTCTCAGCGTTCCTCGCACAATCATGGAGGTGCTGAAACCAGTCGATCATATTCCTCATCAATGTTGTCAATGACGGCATCTTCCCATGTTGCAGCAATAGTGCCAAAGAGCTCCCAGTTGGTGGTCGTTCTGGGCATTCGCTTCTTAAACTTTGCAGCCATTTCTACCCGCTCTGTGAAGTAGAATTTTGCACGAAGGAGACAGTGGTCCGATCCCGTTTGGAATTTTGGAACAACAGTGACATCGGTCAGGCAAAACCGTCGATTGAATATGATGTGGTGAATTTCGTTGTGGAACCGTCCACCAGGAGACTCCCATGTCCAACGTTTAGTTAAATTAGGCCTTATGGAACTGTGAGTTACCATGGATGGTCTTGGTTGACATGATGAACTCAGACAGTCTCTCACCCTGTTTGTTCCATTCTAGGCCATGGGTCCTGATATGGAGTTCTTTGGCTGATCTTCTTGGTCCTATCTTGGCATTAAAATCACTGACAATGATCTTGTAGAAGGTGTGGTCTTTTTTATAGAACTTCTCCAGCTCCATGTACAACTTCTCAATTTCTCCTTCATCATAATTGAATGTTGGTGAGTAGATAACAAAGACAGAAACTGCCGGCAGTGAGCCACATCTATTCAAGTGTAATCGTCTGATTTGGGTTGTTTGGCATTTGAATGAATCAATGCTTATGGCCAAGTTCGTGTTGACAAGGACACCAACAGCACCAACGCCTCTTTTGTTGCATGTTCCAAGGGACAGTTCTTCTCCAGTGTCAAAAACGGCATGATGTGTTGATGCCTCCTTGTCTCGGTCAGACCAATGATGTCGTACTTGATCTTTCGCACTTGCACCATCAGGTCCTGGATGGATGCATCCGATGCCAGCGTACGTGCATTGAAAGTACAGACAGTCATTTCTGTCCTTCTTCATTTTGGCAGCCTAGTTCGGCCTTGAGATTTGATCAGCTTTTCCTTCATCATCCTTCTTAACGCTGCCATATTGGTGGCTCTTTCAGGGTCAGGGGAATTAGACCCATTGTATTTACTGGTTTTGGCATATCAAATATGCCATGGATTGCTTGCCAGGCTCTGCCATGTGGGCGGGATATTCTCAGTTGCTTGCCAGATAAATACCTCATCGGCAGACCTCCACTACCTCCACTACCTCCACTACCCAGCCGCCGCCACGCTCCAGGACGCTTTCCAAACCATATTTGATAGGATTCAAATATGGTTTGAACCATGGGAACACCTGCAAGGGCAATTAAAGGCCACCCTAAAAGCCTCTATCCCTCTCAGAGAGCCATGCTGGTTAGCAAGACAAATTTCTACTAAATAAAGCAGAGACAGGTGTACGCACAGCAATCATGTCCTGATCCAACTTCCACAGCAGCCTCAAGGGCTTCCTGGAGGAAGTGGCATTTCACCTGCTGGTGGGAATGAGAGGGCTCAGTCCTCCGGGGCACTTACCTCGGTTGGTAACCACGAAGATAACATACTCATTAAAGGCTTCAGGGTGTGTCAGAGCCATTTCAGCACAAATCTCTTCTACTACATCCAGGGCCACCTGGAGGGATGAGGAATGAGTCTGAGCTAGCCACCTCATCTCTGTCCCAGCTGCAAAGCCCCAAGAGGCCAAGCTCCAAGGTCTTCAGGCCCTCTGCAGAGATCAAAGGTTCCTCCAAGGTCCAAGACCCAGTCTTGTATGTAAGGAGCTCAGCGTCTTGACTCGAGACTCAGCTTTGGGGCTGGCCTTTTTCCCTACTTGCAGCGTTACCCTGAGCTGGAGGGTCCCCCGCTGTGAGGGTCAGTTGACCTGCTCTGCTGTAGAAAGGGACAGTTTGATGGGACCGAGAAGGCCTGGGAGGCCTCTGCACCCGGGGGCTTTCCAGAGCACTGGGTCACCCAAGAGTCACTCACTGTGCAGGTTTTGATTTTGAGATGACGCTCAAGGCCTCCAGGAAGAAGAAAGAGCTGCCTCTTAGAACTGCGGCCCGCCTGGGAGTGGGGAGACAGGGGAAGAGACAAGAGGCAGGGTCTGGGATCTGGGCACCACTGTCCCCTGTCTTAGAGTGTGGCGAGCCCCACTGGAGGAAGTGGCATTTCAACTCATAAAATCCTGGGCCAGCCCAGGCAGAGATGCTGGTGCACCGCACCCGGAAGTCTTCTACAGGTTGTGGGTAGTGAGTGCACGGACTAGGTCCCTCGTGTGCGGCCCCATCCTGCTCACCAACATGGCTCGAAGCTCCATGCTGCTGGGGAGCTCCAGGCGGCCGCCAAAGCGCGCAGTTTTCTGCAGGTTCTGTTCACAGGCCTTGGCAATACCTGCGGAGACAGGGCATCAAGGGCCTGCACCAGCAGGCAGGCAGACAAAGGGTTTCTTTTCAGCTGCCACAAACCACTGAACTCCTGTGTGGGATGGGCATCAGCTCTCTCACTTGACAGCTGAGCAAAGGGAGGTCTGAGAGGAGCCAAGAGCTGCCCACGATGGATAGCTGGGGTAGAGGCATGGGAGGGCGCATCAGACCCTGTGGCTAAGACCTTTCATCTTGTCTGTGGTGGCCTTGGCTACTTATGGGCCCTAGGGGTGGCCATCACCAAGAGATAGGAACTGGGGGCTCCCCTAGTAGGCTGTGTGGTCATAGTGATGTCATCCTGCCCTGCCAGCTGGGACCCCTGCCAGCCACCTCTCCCCTCAGGATGCCCATGAGGAGGACATCTTCTGTCTGTCCATTTCCCTGAGTCCACAGGGCCCTCATCCAACCCTGGCGAGGCTGGGACTCCCAGGGTGCACAGTGTTGCCTTCATGGTCTAGAGGGTTTGACAGGGAGCCCTTTTCTGGGGAGCTGGTGCTACTCATCTCTGAGTCCAAAGAAGGTTTGCACCTAGAGAGAATGAGGCTCCCTGTCTGTGTCACCTGAGTCTCTGTCCATGGCGCCTAGACTCTCTCTTAGGGGCCCAGGGGCTCTTCTGAAAATAAGACTTGGGGTGAAGCTGAGGAGAGCCTCTCCCCCATACTCTAAGGGGGGACAGGCTGATATCCCCAGTCTTAACTCACCCCTGCCCAGACCTGCTCAAAACCCTTGTTAATTCCCAAAGGTCAGGAAATCAAGGAGTAACCCCAGTACCCTCCTGTGCCACCTTCTCTTCTTTTCTCAAATGCTGCACATTCCCACCTTTAGACCTGTGCTCCTGCCACACAGCTGTAGAAACTCCTCCCATGTGCTCACTACCCAGGGTGACACCTCCTCCAGGAAGCCTTCCCTGACATGGCCCTTCCCTGTTATAAAAGACAACTCAAAACATCATCAGCTTAGAGGACCACCAAGAATGTGTGGAGGTGAGTCATGAGTAGCAATTATTGCCAGGTACCTGGGAAGGGCCAAGGGCTTCTGGGTTACCCTCTTGTCCCCAGGCAAACAAGTCTCTGCTTTAGGTTTTACCACTTACCCTGGAAGGGCAGGCCTGGGGTCCGGCTCATGTCACGAAGGAAGCGAGTAAGGTGCGGCTGGAGGACCTCAGAGCAGCTGTGGTAGGCAGCCACAATGTACAGCAGCCTCCAGCCTCTCTGGCAGCTGTCCCTGCGAGCAGGTGAGGGCATGTGAGTGGCAGGCCAGGAATCCCCTGGACCCAGCTCTCAGGCAGCTCCTTTCTCCTGGGAAGCCCAGTGAGACCCAGGAGGGGCACCTAAGCCCGAAGCCAAGTGGGGAGTCTGTTCTTGGGAGTGGGGAGGTAGGGAAGGAAGGATGCGTGAGCGACACTCGCAGAGAAACTCTTCCTGGGGCTCTCAGGGGGGGGGGGTCCTGAGAGCAGCTCCTTAAAGAAGGGAAAGGGGGAACTCAAACGTCATGCAGGATAGTGAAAGGTGAGTCCTGGGGTGGAGGAGATGAAGGAAAGAGGGAGAAGGGGGAGTTGGTGGGAAATAGCCTCTGCATCGTGGCATGTCTCCTGAGTGCCAGTGTCCATTTTGTCATCCTGAGTGTGAAGGTTTCATGTGGGGGAAACCAGTGATTAGGGACTGCATTGGGGCTTCCTCTGGGAAAGCACTACGATCCCTGCCAGGCCCCTGTAGTTTGGAGATGGGCACAGGGTGGGGCTGGCCAATTAGAATACTCGAAGCCCCAACACCCCCCAGTGGCTTAGGCTCCAGGGAGGCCAATCAGCCTCCCTTTGGCTGGGTAACAAGCGTGGTGACCCAGAGGCATGGAGACAGCGGAGTGTTAGGGCATACCCAGCATGCACCTGATGCAGGACAAATAACACCACAGGGACCACCAGGGATTGCCAGCTGCAGCCCTGGAGGCCCCTGAGCACTGCTGACTGAGCCAGGTGTGCCAGGCATCATCGCACCCTCAGGTTCTTACACTGCACCACCAGCCCAACTGACCAAGAGTCACTTGTGACATCCCAGGCTCCCTGAGCACTGCTTGGGAGCCACACACCCCCAGGGCTGGCCAGTCCTTGGATCATGAATGGATATTTATGGCCAAGTCAGATACAAGAAAAATGAATTCAGGGGATGGAGAGACAGTGCAGTGGTTCAAGGTACTTATCTCGCACACAGCTGACCCTGGCTCAAACCAGGCACCATAAAGTTCCTGAGCACCATCAGGATTAATCCTTGAGCATGGAGCCAAGGTAAGCCCTGAGCACTGCTGGGTATGGCCCAACCTCTGCCACCTCCCGCCCATGAAAATAGGATGAACATAGGGGCTTCTCCAGCTTGGATTGCATTTAATCCACTGCCAGCTCGAGCCTGGGCTTCCCTAGGGTTGCCACCATCCTACAGATGAGGTTACCAAGGCCTGTAGAGCCAAATCCCAGCATGTCCCAGACCAGGAGAGCCACACTGGTGAGAGGAGGCTGAGGGGGGGAGGACTCGGGAAGGGACACCAGCAGTAGGAGGGGCTGAACTAGCTTCTCTGGAAGGTGGCCACAGTGCGGGCTAGGGAGAGGCCAAACCACAGCTCGCTCACTGCTTGGCGCTTGTGTTGTCCGTGATCTGCTTCACGACTTGGCAGTAACATTCGTCTCGCATGACCTCATGGTCTTCACACAGCTGCAGGAGGGCAGGCGAGGTCAGAGGCCGAGGCCATGCCAGGCACGTGGGGGCAGGGTTGGCACTTGGAGAAAGCCTGCTGACCCCCCGCCCCTGCCCCCGGCTCCCTCCAAGGAGTGCACGTGGCAACCGACCTTCAGGAGGGCACAAAGCACGTCCAGCTCACTCTGGCCCTTCAGTGGGGCGTCCCCCATGAACTTCATCACAGCTGTTGGAAAAATGCGTCACTCGGCCCCCTGCTCTCCACATCCCACTTCCCTATGCTGGCTACTGCCTGGGAGGCTGGGGCAGGGCAGCCAAGGGCTTCTCCATCCTAAATGGGACGCCCGGTCTGAGGCTGGGGGAGATACGAGGATCAGGAAGCGGGCGGGAGGGCCCTCCCGCACCCCCACACCTAGGAACATGTCGGTGGCCATCTTGTTGAGACTGCTGTCGCTGAGCTCGATGAGGGATTCCTGGAGCGGGGTCTGTGGGGGAGGGAGGGCCGTGTCACAACAATGGGGAAGTGAGGACTGTGTAGGATTGAAGGGACCGGAAGGCCGCCTACACTGCGGTCCTGTCTCAGGGCACATAAGGGGCCAGCCTGGGAACACAGGCTGTCAGGAGTTCAGGCCTTTGGGTGCTGAGAGTGGCACGGTACCCCAGGGAGACATGGGAGCATGGAAAGGGGCCGGGCCCAGGGCTGGACACCTTGGTGAAGCACAGCATGTCCTCCAGGCTTCTGGACTCACGTCCCTCTCTGGCCTTCAGCCGGATGCAGTCCCTGCAGTGACACAGTGCTGCTCACCCGCCTGACATGGTGAAGGAAGCCCTGGGCCCCAGAGTGGGGGAGGGGGGTGTGTCCCCCAGCCCCACAGCTGGGCCAGCATCAAGAGACCCTCCTTGGGTTGGGTGGGGACACCACTCACGGGGGTCTCCTCTGAGGGTCTCTGAAATATTTCTGGGCAAACTCCAGCATTGAGTACGGAGGAAGAGCCAGGCCATCCTCCCCACGGTCTGCAGAGCCAGCCCGGACTGGGGGACCCTGCCGGAGGGGGACAGTTAAGGGGATCTTGGCCACATTTGCATCCCACTGGGCCCCATAAAAACCAAAGTGCTTAGACTGCGCCTCCCCCTCCGCATCCTCTGCCTCCTCCTGTCACGCCCACCACATGCCCCCTCGTCTCACCCTGGTCAGTTCTTGCCTCGGCCCTAGCAGCCTGACTCACCGGCCGCCCCACCAGCCCTGCCCCATCCACACCCTGGGCTTCACCTGCAGGCAGAAAGGGTTGGTCCTGCCTGTTCTTCCTGATCACAGACCTGCCCCCACCCCCAGCCCCGCACTGGGACACTTCTAGGGTGACCACTTGGCCATACAGCTGGCCTGCATCCCACCCCGACATGTGCCTGGGCCCTCCCTGCCTCCAAGCCCAGTTGCCCCTTGCTGTCTCCACCTCCTCGTGCCCCCTCCCCCAAACCCCGCGGCAGTTCCCCTCTCACCTCCCTCCTGCGGCCCACTTCCCGGGCAGCCATGGTGGAGGCCACTGCAGCGGCCACTGCTGCAGCCCGGCCCCGGCCCGGCTCAACAGGCAGCTGCAGGAAGTCAGGGGCAGCTGCGGGCTGCACCAGCTCTGATGGGAAGCGGCCCACACGCCCGTGGACAGTCCCAAACCTCCAGCCTAGGGGTAGGAGAAGGGGTCTGAGGCAGAGGGTACTAAAGGGGTACCTGATTGTCTTCCTGATTCTGCCCTAGAGGTCTGCACCAAGGGTTTGCCATGGTGCCCTTTTTTGGTGTCACATACAGAGGTGTTAAAGGATCTGTGCTCAGGAGTTGCTCCTGGTGGTGCTCAGGGGACCCTGCTGTGCCAGGGATCAAACTTGGGTCTGTCACATACAGAGCATGCACTTAACCTGCAGAGCTATTTCTCTGGCCCCAGATGCAGCCCAGTTACAGATGAGGAAACTGAGGCGCAGGAAAGAGAAGGCATATCCTTAGTGGGGCTGGAAAAGACTGTGGATGCTGGCATCCAAGCACAGAGAGTTGGATATTCCAGACATTCATGATCATGGAGGTGTTCAGCAGGCTCTGTGCGCGGAGGGCTGGGTCAGATGGCCATGGGGAGGCCCTATGACCAACCAGACCAGTCCCCTTTGGGGTATCAAGAACCCCACCCAGGAGTCTATAATGTGTGTGCAAGAAACAGGATAAGCCCTGCACAGAGGGGGTGTCTTGGTTTAAATTCCAGCATTAAAAGGGAGACGGGGGTGTCCCAGGATACCCACCAAAATCCAGGCCTCTCCGCTGTAGCTCCTCCAGGTACACAACCTTCTTGCGGACCACGCAGCCGGCGCTGTAGCCTGCGGGCCGAGTTGCATCACGCTGTGTGGGAGACGGGCTGTCCCGGCCTCCCGCCCTCCCCATGCTGCTCACCCATTCGCGGCGGCTCCAGGGGCTGTAGGTGGATGATGTCGCCCTTGTGGAAGGTCAGTAGTGCCGGGTCCTCAGGCAGGAAGTTCCTCACGGCCACCACATAGTCAGAGTCCTGGGTTCAGGAGTACAGACTGGGGGGCTGCAGTCTCCTGCTCCTCCTTCTAGAAGTGCTGGGCTCCCCACCCCTCCAGACTCATCTGGGAGCCACACCAGCCCCGCAGAGAGTGTCGGGGAGGAAGCGGGCAAAGGCAGGAACGGGCCCGGAGGCCGTCAGGGCCACGCGCACCCAGGCTCCTGGACCGGGTGACGGGAAAGGACGGGGCAGGGAGTCCCAGTGAGGGCAGGCGGCCTGCTGTGGGCGGGCCTCTGGGGGACCCCTGACCTTCTTCAGCTCCAGGATGAAGTCATCCACCAGGGTCTTGACCTGGTGGGCTCGTGCTGAAAAGAGGATGACCTTCTCACTGGAGAGGTTGAACTCCAGCATGTTCTGGGAGGGGATGGTCACAAACAGGATATCGGCGAAGCTGGAGGGTAGGCAGGTGGCATGAGAGCAGGCCCCGGTGACCAGCATAACGCCCTTCCCCCCACCTGCCCTAGTGCTGCTCTGGCCCTGCGCTTTTCCTGAAGACATCCCCATCCACCTAGGGCTCCACCTCATCACCTCCACCCTCTAGTCCCCACCCCTTCGCCACCGTGGAGCCTCAGGACCCTGTTCACACAAACCGACTGCGTCCACTGAGAAGCTCTCCAGCCTTCCCTGCTGTCAGAGCAAAGGTCCTCCCTGGCTCCCAGTCTAAAGGGCCCAGGAATGGCGGCGGGGAGGGTCCAAGCCCTGGAAAGGCCTCTCCCTTCTCAGCCCAGCCCCTTACGCCCTCCACCACCTCTTAGCCATTGCACCATGGCGACCATGCCGGGAGAGCAGGGGGCCAGTTGGAGTGGGCAGGGACCACACCCCTTGCACCTGCACTTCCTGAGTGACCTGAGTGGCTTCACCCTCCAGAGCCTCTGTCTGCCCCTCTGAGCGAAGATGGGCTCGACTGAAGAGGAGGTGGTCCACATACTGGCCATTATAAATCGCAGGATTAGGGGCTGAAGAGATAGCACAGGTAGGGTGCTCGCACACAGCAGACTCGGGCTTGATCCCTGGCACCCCATGCGGTTCCCCAAGCCTGGTCAGGAGTGGTTCCTGAGCACAGAGCCAGGAGCACAACCAGGTGTGTCCCAAAACAACAGCAATAGAACAAAAAGCATGGACTGAAGGAGTTGGCGGTATCTCACATCACCGGTTGTCAGCAATGGACTGTGGAGTTCTGAGGGGAGCGGAAGCCAGTCACCCCACCCCGTCTCCAGGCAGCCCCACTCCTGCTCCCTGCTGCCCACCTGTAGACACGCAGGACCCGCAGCTGCCCACCGGCCTCCCGGCTTCCCTTCACCATCTGCAAGAGTTTGATGCCGGTGTGGGAGACAGCCAGGATCTGCACTCCAGTGCCAACACTGCCCTGGCATGGGGAAGGCACGTGTGAGCCACTTCAGACTCGGCCCTGAAGTCCTGGGAGGGCAGCGCCAGACAGAGGCTCGCTTGCTCGCCCTCCTGTCCTCCCACACGCACACACCGTGGCAGGGAAGAGGCGAGAGAAGTAGATCTCCCAGCTGTCCCGAGCTGTGCTGACCACTGCCCTCTTCACACTCTCTGCCACCAGGGGACGCTGTGTGTCCAGCTGGTTCTGGGCTAAGAGACACTGGGTCGGGTGAGGCCCTGCCCCCTGCCCACTCACACTCCACTGAGTTCCAGAAAGCCACTGTGGAACTCGTACTCCTAGGGCCCACTGAGGAACAGACTTCCAAAGACCGAGAGGCCGGCAGCATGCAGAGCCGGAGAGGGAGGGAGGGTGGGCCCCATCGCATCCCAACCCTCCCCTGCAGTACCAAACAGGGCCTTCATGGTGAGCCTCTCCTCCTCAGAGATACGAAGACAGGCCTCGGAGAGCGTGTCATGCAGGATCTGTGAGATAAGGATGAGGGTCCAGGACACCCCCAGCCAGGAATCCAGGCTGAATGGCATCCACTTTATGCAGCAGTGGGATCATCGGCATGACACCCATGTGTGAGGGTCTTCAGAACCGCCCTCCCCTTCCCACGCTTCCACATCTCTATGCTGGGGCTTGGGGGGTATGATCTCTGGGTCCTGTCAAGATCAGACAAACTATCTCTTGGTAGCCCCAACTCTGGGCTCACGACCTTGTCCTGGAGCACGAGGTCTCAGGACTGTTCTGTACCCTGCACAGCTGGGCCCGAGACCCTGGGGCCCCATACACTGCCCGATCTCTGCAGGGCCCCAGGAGCAGAGTGGAGAGAGAGGCCCTCACCTGCCGGAACAGGAGGTCCAGCTGCACGGGGTGGCTGTAGCTCTCCTTGGGGTAGAACACCTGCGAGGCCAGGTTCCTGTGAGCCCCCCCTGCCCCAAGCACCTGGGCCTGAGCTCTGCCCTGAGATGCTCTCCTGGAACCACCCCCGGGACCCTTCTTTTCACTCCAGGAACCTCTTTGCGTAGAAAGATCCGCCAGGGGGTGTCCTGGTAGCCGTAGAAGCTGGGGTTGAGGCGGTGCAGCTGTGTCTGTACAGGCTCCTCCTCAGGCTCCAGTGACCGCAGGGGAAGCCCTGGGAACAGAGGTGTGGGGGCAGGAGTGGATGAGATGGAGGCAGGGAGGTCGGGGTGACATCTTGCATATGCTATTCCTCCCTTTCTCCCTCCTTCTCTCTCTCTCTCCTCCAACTCCTTATAGGATCTAATTATCTAGACCAGTGTGTTTTCTGTTTTTTTTTCCCCAAAGCGGGGGTGGGGGAGGGGAAGCAACACCCAGTGATGGTCAGGGGTTACTCCTGCCTCTGGACTCAGGAATCACTCCTGGTGGTGCTCATGGGACAATATAGGATACTGGGGATTGAAACCAGGTTGGTGGCTTGCAAGGCATGATACCTATTGTACCAGTCTTGTGCAGTGGCCCCCATTTGCTGGATTTTCACCTGTGCTCCCCTTGGAATATCCAGGTGCCCACAGACAGCCATAAGACCCTGCTGAGGGGCTGGAGTGATAGCACAGCGGGTAGGGCGTTTGCCTTGCACGTGGCCGACCTGGGTTCGATGTGCAAACTCAGGAGTAACCCCTGAGCATCGCCAGGTGTGACTTAAAAAGCCAAAAAAAAAAGACCCCTGCTGAGAATTGGTGCTCAGAGCAGGTGGGTCAGCCCTGGGGGATGGGGACAGGCTGGGCAGGACTCGGGCTCGAGTGTGGACTGTTGAGGCAGGTGCTGGTAGGAAGGACCAGCTAGAAATGATGACCATTCAGTGTCAGTGGGGCTGGAGGCAGAAGTGGGAGGTGCTGGGGAGGTCTCTGTGGCACCTCCAGTTTGCATGGCCCACAGACTTTGGGAGTGGTGAGTGGGGCAGGCAGACCGGAGCTTTCCAGGAGGAGCACTGTAGCAGAGGGAAAGGAGGCACAGGGCCCTGGGGCAGGATAATGAGGAACAGAATAAGGGGGACAGTGGGGAGACCCAGGGGGGTGTGCAGATCCTCAGGGACTCAAAGGCCACGGTGAAGACTCTGGAGTTTATCTGCGGAGCCTCACGCTCTGTATGGGGGGCTGGAGGGACAGTACAGCGGGTAGGGCATTTGCCTTGCAAGTGGTCAGTTCAGGTTTGATTTCCAGCACCCCGAGGGCCCCCCAAACACCACCAGGAGTGATCCCTGAGTGCAGAGCTGGAAGTAAGCTCTGAGTTCTGTCCCAAACCCAAACCAAACCCCTCTATCTCGAGAGTTATCTGGAGAGTTTTTGAGGAGGGACATACCATAAGCTGGTATTTAAATGTAACTGTGGTACAGGGGAATGGAACCCAGATACTCACACATGCAAAGCAAGTGCTCAGCAGCTGGGCCACAGCCCCAGGTCCCTGATTTCTATTTTTTAAAGTCACGTGGAAGAAGGTATAGAGGCCTCCAAAGACCCAAGTTTATATCCCTGATCTGAAGTGTCTGACTGTGCAACCTTGGGCACACAGATGAACCTCTCTGTATCACTTTCTTCATATGAGGCACAAATGGGGCTCAGAGGCTGGAATGAAGATTTGGAAGACAGGAAGGGACTGATGTGGCAAAATGACCCAGGAGTCCACCTACTCTGTCTCCTGGGCCGCAGATGCAGATGGAGACTGTCCTGTGTACCCACAGACTCTCCTATAGGGACATATGTCCTCTTGGCCCTCCCTCTGTCACTCCCTCCTGGCCTCTCACCTGGAGTGGGTTCCATAGGCGGCCTCGGAGCACTGGTCACCGGCTTCACCAGGGCCACGGCCTCTCTGGGCACCTGATTCCCCCCCAAAGAGAGTGCTCTGGGCAGCAGGTGGGTTTGACCGAGGGTTGGCAGCAGGATTTGAGATGGTCTTTGGTGTCCCCACGGCTCCGTCCTGCTTTTGCCTGAATGCAGCTAGAGCCGATACCTTACCTGGGTGCCAGCAGCTGCTGTCTGGTGGCTCAGCTGCCCCTTCAGGATCATCAGGGCTTCCTCATGGGGGTCAGGCCGCTTCACAAACACCCTCCCGCCGTCCTTCCTGTAGGGAGGGATGCTGACTCCCTTCTACCCAGCCACAAGCTCCTCTCCACCCACAGGCTTCACAACAGAGAACTCGGAGAATGTTCAGGTAGGCCTAAGGCCACTCAATATGCCCAGAAAACAGTGGCCTCGGCCTCCCCTGGGTGAGGCTTTCCTGATGTCTGCACAGACAGCAGGCCTGGACTCAGTCCCTAAAGGCTGCTGGGCCAGGGCCCTGTGACCCTGGTCCACTGCCCTTGAGGCTGGCAGGGGCTGGCCTGACGCGGCAGAGTGACCTGAGGGCGTCAGGCCGGCCTGTCCTGGGCGGCTGCTGGCACTGCCTCACGATGTTCCTGATCTGCTGCGTGGGCTGCGGGAAGTGCTCGGAGTTGAGTGTTGAGTAGCGGACCAGCTCCGGGGAGGGGCAGGCTGTGGCGGGCAAGTGGGGACAAGGTCAGCCTCCAAGGACACCACCACACTCCAGCCCCACCCTGGGAAGTGTGCGGGCTGGGAAGACACTCACTGGACTCTGGAGCAGCTCGATCCTGTACGAGAATGGGGGCCGCCACGGGCTTCGTGGTGGGCTTGGAGGCCTTGGTCAGGGGGGCTGGGGCCGGGGCTGCAGGCTGCGGGGCAGTGCGCAGGAGCACGGGCTTGGCAGGGGGCCCACTCCCCACAAGCTTCAGCCGCGCCTCCAGGGGCAGGGGTCTCTGTGGAAAGGAGGGGGGTGCTTCCTGGGGCACCTGCATCTGTTTCCAGGGGCATCGTGCACGGGCCATGAAGCTGCTGGGCTTGGAGGGGCGCCATGCCCTGGCCCAGCATAGCACTCACCTCTGGGGGGGCGGGCTTGGAGGCGGCACCCAGAGGCTGCTGCTGCAGTGCCATGGCCTGCAGGGTCATCTCCCGGGCCTGGGGAGGGGAGCCGGTGTGAGGAAGGCTCCCCCTCAGCTGCCCCTCCCACAGCTCCTGCACTCACCAGCAGCATCGCCTGCTTGTGGATAAAGGCCTGCTGCAGGGCCAGTGTGGACGCGTCCAGGCCTGGGACTGTGGGCCAGTCAGAGGGCGAGTTTCAGATGAACCCCCACGACCTCCAAGCCCGCAGCTGCCTTCACTCCAGCAGAAGCCCTCAGAACCCCCAGGGGTCCTTGCCCAGCACCCCATCTTTCACCACCAACTCCAGGTACTGACTTGGTTTTGGCTTTGGCTCTGGGGGCCTCCTGGGGGTGTCTTCAGTGCTGCTACTGCTGCCTCCTCCAGGCTGGCCTCCCCCCTTCATGCGGTAAGCAATGGCTGTTGGCTTCTCCAGGTCCTGGGGTAGTGGGTGGCTCAAGTGACCTCCTGAGTGCTGAATGCCTGAGGCTCCAGGGCAACGGGCACCTGACACCCAGCGCTCCTTGGGATGGGGGTGGGGGGGCGAGTGCCTGCTGGCTGAGTGTGTGCCCGGGCCCAGCCTCTGCCCGCAGCAACCCTGCCCATGCTCCCACAATCTAGAGGGCTCCCCGCCCACCCCCTCCAGGGATGTAGACAGAGGCTCAAAGCAGGGCTCTGTTCTGCTTGGGGCTGCATGGGGCATCACATGGGGTTCCTGGAGCTTCCCAGAGTGCAGCAGTGCACCCTAGGGCCACTGCTCCCTCATCCCTGGGGGTGGGGTGTCGAGGTGTGCCCTCTGGGGTGAAGCAGAAGCATCTCTGCTTAGCACCTGCCAGATGAGACCCGAGCCCCAGCCTAGCAGAGGGGCCCCTCATGACCTCTGGGTGATTTGGGGTCCGTGCATACGGCCAGACAGGGCCCCTCAGTACCACGTCCCCGCAGGAGAGCACAGGGTTGAAGAGGCTGTCCAGGTAGCAGTCCAGCCCCTTCTGGGGCACAGGAGGCTCCCCAAGGCTTCTAGAGTCTGGCCAAGGAGGGGCACAGAGAAGCCAAGTTTTTTCTTCCCTCTGATCACTTCCCGAAGACCCCACGTGGCTCCCTCCCCTTCAGAGACAGCTGTCCCTCTCTGGGACCCCCATTCCTACCGTCCTCCTGGTGACTGCAGTAACCATCAGGGTCAGCCCCTCTAGCCACACGCCCCAGGGCTGGGGCCACTGTGGGCATGTCCTCCTCCACGTCCCAGCTGTTCCCAAACACCCTGTGGGAAGAGGAACGTGGGGATCTGACCCCTGCCCGAGGAGCCCCTGGTCCTCCCTGTGCCACCCCGCAACTCCCTCTACGCCCTGGATCTGGGGGCTCTCCCTTTGAAAGCCCTTAGTTGAGTCCCTGCCCTCAGAAGCACCCCTGTATCTGTGGGGGGTGGGGCGGGGATCACTGCCTACCCTCTCAGGCCTCCTCTGCCAGCCACGGGCCCTTCTGCACCCACGATGAAGTAAGACTTCTGTCTCGGGAAGTCCTGGAGCAGCTCCAGGTCCGACACCAGGTCAAGCACGTAGTCGTGGCCTCCCAGCTCTGCCCACTGCACCCCGTTCTTCATGGCCACTGTCCAGCCCCGCCAGCCATCTGCCAGCCCTCTGGTGACAGCATACAGAGGAATGTAAAGGAGGGACAACAACAGTAGAAGCTGCCAGTGTCGGCAGCGTGGAGCCCCCAGGGATCCGGCCTCCTGCCCTCCCTCGGTCCGGGGGGCACAGGACGTGCTGGATGGGGCGTCGCGGGAACCAACCTGTGCCTCAGTATGTCTCCAGCCACCTCTTCCCCCGTGCTCCAGGAGTGCACTGGGCAGGAAAACTGGTCACCTGGGAGCAGCGGGTGCTGGCTCAGCCACCACCCCCACTCTGCCTGCCTCGATGCTCTCATTCCGGGGGCTCCCTCACACCCTCAGAGCCCCTCTCTCAGGCCAGGTCCAGGGAGATGCCCTGTGTACGTGCCTGTCCCCCGAGGGCTATTCTGTCTGCCATTCTCTGGGGGGCAGGAAGGGAGTGGAGGAGGGGTGAGGGCCGCTCACCATTGAAACAGCCCACATCCAGCACCATGCCGGCCTTCTCCTGGATCGCTGTCCACTCTAGCTGGGTTGGAGGGAAAGTCCGGGCAGCTCTACAGCCATGTTGCTGAGTTCGACTCAGGGCCTGCATGAGGCGGTGCTGACAGACAGCCTGGAAGCCCTGAGGCCCGTAATCAGACACGAACCTGAGGGAGGGAGTCAGAACTGGATGAAGGCTCACACGTGAGCCCAGAGTTCTAAGGGATTTAAGACAAGTCTGAGAGAGGCTGAGGCTACTGAGAACTCTAAAGGAGGCTGAAGAGGCCTCAAGTTAGCCTGGAACGATCTCAAGCAACAAGTCTGCAGATTCCTAGGATAAGAGACCAAAGAAACAGTTCAAAGGGCTTAAAGGAGGCCAGAGATGTAGTACAGGGGTGAAGGCACCCGTCTTGCACGCAGCTGGCCCCATTTCAGGCACCAAATGATCTCCTGGGCACTGCCAGGAGTGATCCCTGAGCACTGCTGGCGTGGCCCCCAAATTAAAATACATAAATAAAAAGAAGAAATACAAACTAGACTGTCATTTCTGGCCAGGGAGACAGTACAGGAGTTAAGGCACTTGCCTTTCATGCAGTTTCATGGTTCAATCTCTGGCACCACCCCTGAGTACCACCAGGAATGATTTCTGAGCACAGATTCAGGAGTAAGCCCTGAGCAAAACTGGTTGTGAAACATCTCTACCCTCCCACCCCCCCCACCCCATACCCCCCACCCTCCCCCACATCCCATAAAAGGGCTGAAGCACATACCAGAGCATATGAACAGAGCTCTGGGCTCAATCCAGCATCATGTGGCTGCTGAGCATACGAAGGCTACTCCAGCTGTAACTCTAGTGGCCCCAGAACCGCTGCCGCTCCCCCCAACAACCCCACCAAAAAATAAATAAAACTTGGTTCTAGGATGATGTTGAAGGAGTCCTAGGAAAGTGCAGAGTTCTAGGGCTACACTGAAAGACTCCCAGGCTAATCCAGAAGTCTTGAGCCAGCACAGACCTCCAAGGACAGACCAAAGAGTTCTGGTTGGCCCACTGAGCTGGCTGGAGCAAAACGTTGACTGAATGAGGCCCGCAGCAGGGTGTGGGCCTGAACTGGACTCTGGAGGGCTCTGCTTCTTCCCCCAGCACCACCTTTCTGAGCCCACTCCATGGTCTCATCTATACAGGAGATGGCTGCAAGCATTCAACTTGATGCACAACCAGCAAGTCTGGGGACAGTCCAGAGCTCCTTGGCCAGGAGCAGCACAGAACAGGCCTGCAGAGGCTGAGGGAGCCTGGAGTCACTCTGGTCATGATGGCACAGGGGAAGCCTGATGGAGCTCTGTAGCACAGAGTGGTCCTGCCCAGGGATCAGAAGGCCACCCCTAACTCAAAGGTATAAAAGAGGTTCAGAGAGGGGCAGTGACTGGCCCTGGTCATACAGTACGTGTCAACAGCATTCACACCCAGAGCTTGCTTGAGCTCTTCCTTTACCAGCACCTTGCAGGACTGATGACAGCCATGGTCATGTAGCCCCGACCACCCGTCTGCTCTAAGCATTTCCTATGTGTCTGCAGCGTTCTCATCCCAGCAGATGGTAAAGCAGTTCTCTTCCCATTGCACAGGGGAAGAAATGGGTTCAGAGAGGTGGAAAGAGCTGGGACACGACTCCTGCCCACAAGTCCAGAGTCCATCTCCTGACTACCCTCCCCAGTTCCCACTCCTGTGCCTCTTCGGGGTCCCTGATCATTGTGTTCTGGAGTCCTCTGCGCAGTCTCCTGATTCCACCCTCCACCGTGAAGCCCTGCCCTTCTTTCTTACTCGGAGCCGGGCTCAGACCTGCCTCCCCAGGGCCTCATGTCCGGGTGCTGCTCCAGGCCCTGCCTACCAGATCCACTCACTTGAGTAGGTACTTGTTGAGGCGTGAGGAAGGTGCAAAGCCACTGAGGCAGGCAGCCAGCAGGAGCCAGCCCCGCTCAGCATTGTGGATGCTGGGGTTGTGCCACACTTGGTTTGCCAGCTGTGCCAGGATCTCATCCCGCAGCTCAGGCACTGCCAGTCCCTTCTGCACGATGTAGTTCCCGAAGACATTCTCCTGGGCACCACACAGGTGGGGATCTCCCATGAAACGTAGAATCTGGGCCACAAACAGACTCTCAGAAAGTTCCTGCCAGGTCCCTGTCCCCAGCGCACCAGCCTCTCACGAGTCCCTTCTCGTATCACGCCCCCACCTTCCAATACAATTGCCAGAGCCTACTATGAAGCTTCAGTAACTTTGGGGTAAGCTAACCCATAGAGCACAGGGCCAGAGAGAGAGAGTACAGAGGGCTGGGTGCTAGCCTTGCATACAGCTGACCTGGGTTCAATTTCCATCACCCCAAATGGTCCCTTGAGCCCTGCCAGGAGAGATCCCCACACTTCTGGGTGTGGCCCCCAAAAATGAAATATAAACAAGACACAGAGTTTAGACTCTCTCATGCTCAGGAGGCTCTGCATATAGCCGCAGTCCCCCCGCCACATCCTCGCCTCCAGTGGCTGCCTCAGCTCCTGCTCCGTCCAGACCCAGATGGAGCTTCATGACACTCACATCTGACATCTCTCCTGTACCGGCATTTCCCTGGACCCTCTTGGCCCCTGGGGATAAAATCTGAGTTTGGATCTACAAATCAAGATCTCTTTTTATTTTTATTTTAGTAAAATTTTACTAAAAATTTAGTAAAACTTTAATTTAATTTTATTTTGGGGATTACAAGGAGGGAGGGGTGAGCATTCAAGAGGAAATATGAGCTGCTTCAGAGGGGCGAGAACTGAGAACTGAGGGTACCCTAAAAAGTAGACAAAAGGAGTGACACACCCCAGGCTGAGAGGTGATGATCCTAGAATGACTCATACCTCCTCTGGACGCCACCACCTTTGCTCTCTGGTGGGGCCACATCTATCTTCTCTTCCCTCTGTTTTGCCCTTGCTGTAGTATCCCTCCTCCTTTCACTCTAGTACAAGTGTTTCCTCTTACAAGAAGCCCTCTCTGCCCATGACCACTGCTGGGTAAGGGTCTCCGTAAAACTCTTCTGCCTCTGTGCCTCCTTCTGTCCACACTGGTGGCCACTGGCCAGGTCTTCTCTACCCACCCCTTCAGACTCAGAAGTCCTCAAGGAGAAGATCTGGGTCTATTTTTGGGAAAACTGGGAAATTCCTGAGGGGTCTGAGGCAGCCCTTTGGTCAAGAATGTGGCCGGAAGGCTGAAGTACAGCGGGTAGAGCATTTGCCTTGCACATGGCCGACCCAGGTCTGATTCCCAGCATCCCCTGAGCACCACCAGGACTAATTCCTGAGTGTAGAGCCAGGAGTAACCCCTGAACATTGCTAGGTGTGGCCCAAAAACCAATCAAACAAAAAAGATTTTAAAAAGAAATGGCTAGGAGAAGAAAGGGGCCTCAATGTCTGGACCTAGTCCTGCCAAAGGGCTCCCCTTCCAGGAAGAAGCAGGGACTGGCAGTGGAGGACAGGGCGAGGGGCTACACATTCAAAGAGGTGGAACAAACCATACCAGCTGGAAGATGCTCACGGCCTCTGCATGGTACTCGATGGGCAGCTGTGTGAGAGGTGATCGCAGGGGCACCGTCAGCATCCCAAAAGCAGGCTCCTGGGGGCACAGGCAGGCACATGGGGACAGAGCTGGACCCCAGGCACCTCTGTATCCATTGCGCTGTCAGGTACGGGCATAAGAGCCTGTAAGGTGAGTGTCCCTGTCTCTAGTTGGTGGATGGGGAAACTGCGGTTGGGAGAGGGACAGACATTGACCTTCAGTGAGTCAGGGGAGGGACAGGCAGAGCCCTGACCAAGCCCTTCTGGGAGGGCAACAAATGAGAGCAGGGAGGAAGCCTCTGGATGCACTGGCCAAAAGAGCCTTTGGCATTTTGGGTCACACCCAGAAAATGCTCAGGGGTTACTCCTGGCTCTGCACTCAGGAATTACTCCTGGCAGTGCTTAGGGAACCATATGGGATGCTGGGGATTGAACCTGGGTCAGCTGCGTGCAAGGCAAACGCCCTACCTGCTATCTCTGCAGCCCAAGAGCCACTTCTTTAACCCACTTCTTGAACCCTATCCCTGACCCTCGGCTACCCCAGACTACCCTGATCAGCCACTGAGGGGACCAGTCTTGACCGCATACGGCTGTGAGTTCTGCCGTTAGGGCTCACTGACCAGGGCTGTTCGCACCCAGACCTGCAGTTACCTTGAAGTGGCATCGAACAAACTTGACCATGGAGTAGTTGTTGATGTCCAGGGGCAGTGTGACACGGGGCTCAGCCTGGAGGCGTGGAGTCCGTACAGGGCACACCTGGGGCACCTGGGTTGGCCTGATGCCTGTGGAGAGGGTGGACAGGAGGTGACTGGATGTGCTCAGTCCAGCCCAGCCCAGCCCAGCGCTGACCTACCTACCTGCCGCTGCTCGCAAGAGCCCAGCCAATTCCGCTGGGACGTGCAGGTGCCCCACAGCCACCACCTCCCGCTTGTTCAGCTCCTAGAGGGGCAGTGCTGAGCGAGGGGCAGACACGCCACACCCCCACCAGCTGGCCTCCCCTCCTCGCCTCTCCCCTTCCTGCTACCCAGACTCCACACCCACCTCCTGTTCCCGGAGCCGCTGCTCTGCCCTCAGCTGCAGGAGAGATGGTGAAGGCAGGAGTGCTGGCAGGCCAGGTAAGACCGGCTAGCATGGCTTGCACAGCACAACTCTACCAGCGCGAGGAGCAACGGGCCAGCAGACCTGCTGGCTGCAGGCATCTGCCCCCACCTCAGTGATGAGCAGAGACAGCCAGGGAATGGAGAGAGACAGCCAAGGAGAAACAGAAGCGAGGGGGCTGAAGGAGTGAACAAGGCCTTGGGAGAGGCAGAGGGGCAGAGCAGCATTTCCAAGAAGAGGCTGAGAGATGGGTGAGGAAACCCCCGCTCCTCCACACCCAGAGCTCCACAGGGACTTCAGGGAAAGCTGGGCAGTTCTTTAAAGCTTTGGGGACCACATTTGCCTTCTGATGGCTGGCTTAATGGCTGAGAGTGCCAAAAAATAAGGGCAAGGCAGCCGGATTCCCACAGGGCGCAGTCACGAAAGGTGAGCCTGGCCTGGTCTTGCACTGCTGCCCACTGAGCCCATCCTAACCCTGGGCGGATGAGGGGAGAGGCTCCAGAGGGGCCAAGGTCACACAGCAAGTGTCAGAGCAGGGTTGGGAGGCCAACAGTCTCTTCCTGGATGCTAAGTGCTCTCCTTCCCACCTGCCCTGCAGTTCCCTCAGCCCAACTGGGGAGGGCCTGGTGTGCCCTGAGGGCAAAGGCTGGGCCTGTACCTTGAGGTAGCGCCGGTGGCTCACGTAGGTGTGCACCAGGGACCGGAACTTTACCAGACTCCTCCTCATCTGCTGGTACCGTTGCCTGGAGACCCAGAAGAAGGAGTCTTCAGTGGGTGAGAGATTGGGGGACTGGGAGTCTTCAGGGATGAGAGGAGACTGGGATGAGAGGGTCACTGAATGCACGCATTTTACTCTAGGCCCTTAGGTTCAAGGGAAACTGTAGTTTAGGGAGGACCAAGTGACTTGGCCAAGGTCACATGGTAAATTAGACATTTTGGTTTGCTTGTTGCTTGGTCCTGAAATAAGGGGTTGAGTCCTTCATAGACGGACAAATATGGACGAATTCTCAGTCCCCAGGGCCAGGGGTTCTTCCAGAAGGATGTCCTGAGTCAGAGACAGAAGTAAAAGCCCCTTGCACAGTGGCCTGATGCTCGGCTTGCATGCCTCTAGGAACAAGGTGCTCACTCTCCAGATTCAGGCCTGGCCTCTCCCTACTACCCCCAAGGCCCCGGGACTCCTGCTGCACCATACCTGGCCAGGTAGCCTCGAGCCCGGCTCTGCAGCAGGATGATCTTGTGGCGTAGGGAGCGGAAGCGCCGGTGAATAAAGAAGCCTCGGAGGCAGCGCTGCAGCGTGAGGGCGGCCAGGTTCAGGACGTGCTCCCGCATGCTCTCCAATAGCTGGTGCAAGTGCTCCTTCAGGAAGAGCTGAGGGAAGGAGTAGGCACCAATGGGAGGTCAGGGCTAAGCTGTTTCTGTTTCCCTGGGGGCTAGTTCTGGAGCCCTGGAACTTGGGACCCCAGGTGCTCAGTGTGGGCAGGACCTCACCTTGCTGATGCCGACACGATACATGTTTGGCATGACTGTGCACAGGCGACTCAGCACCGACACACACACCTCCCCGCTGGCAGGAACATCATGCTGGAGGGCCACCAGGCAGCGATACCTAGAAGGGCCCGGACCCAGTCTGGGGCTAAGGACCTGCTCGCGTCCTGTCTTCCAGTGGCCTAACCCCAGTTGTGGGGGACCCGTAGCAGCTCTAATCAGAGAGAGACTCAATCTGCCTCTGAGTGCTCAGATGCTCCTGGTCCTGACCAAGAGGCCACGGCAGGCCGTGACATCGAGAAGTTTGGCAGATGAAGAGCAGGAAAAGGGAAAAAGATAGGAAGAAAGAAGAGGAGTACGATGAAGAAGAGGGTGACGTTTTAAGTAGAAGATACAGAGAGGAAGTGGATGGAAATGAATGAAGTTAGAGTGGAAGATTTTGGATAGGATGGAGAGGCTGATAAAGATGAAAAGGATGGTGAAGAGGAGGAAGAAAGCAGGTAAGGTAAAAAGAGGAAGAAGGAAATAGATGATGAAGAAAGTGATTAAAATTCCAAATGAAGGTCAAGAAAAGAGAGCTGTTGGGTCTTGGTCAGACTGCACAGGGATTTGGGAGCTGCTTTGTTGTGTTTGTTTCTGAAATGCTGCTGTGACTAAAAACCAAACCTAACCCAGATTCCCCACATCCAAAGAACAGATCCCTCAACAGTCACCCATGTCGTCCCTCTTGAAAATCCAGCTTGAGGAATGAAACCCTGACAAATTTTAACAAGCACAGTTAGATTCTCATGCAAAATTTGTAGCATAAATAATTCTGATTGTGGAGTGAATCATTTGTGACTACTACTTACACTGAGATTGTAACAGCATTTTCACTTTTAGTACAAAAAGAATCTTTGGAAATAAATCCTTTCTGTTTTGGAAAAATAAATAAAAGACTAGTAGGTGTCAGAAAATAGTAATAAGTAATTATGGTTGACAAAGACATTTTACTGCCACCTGCTGGTAACTTGTAACAGTGATTAAAATTGTCCTTGGGCATTTTTCCTGGATAAAGTCAAACTGAAATACTGCAGTCCATTACGATGCCCACCACCCTTGAGCCGCATGCAGTGGTCCCTTGTGGTGCACGCCTGAGCTGCTGTGCAATGCAAACTCTGTTCTTCCTGGGACCCTGGGGAGAGGGGCCGAGTCATGGTCTGTGGAGCCCAGAAACCACCCTGATGGAGGTACCTGTCTATGAAGAGCTGGAAGGGCAGCCGCACCGGGAAGCCCTCCTTGCGGATCCGCACAGTCTCCAGTACCCCTGAATAGCGCAGCTGTGTCATGACCACATCGGGCTCAAAAAGGCCAGGCTCCTGAGGGGAGGACCCAGATAGAGTCTGCTAGTCTGCACACGGGCCCGACCTGGACCAAGGACGCTGCCAGTGCTGAATAGACCCTATGGAGGGCTGGGTGGGTGGAGCCCCAGAAAGGCAAAGCCACCCACCCAAAGCAGCACAGCATGCGGGGAAAGACACGGGTCTCCCAGGGGCCTCTGGTATCATTTACCTTCTTGTGGTTAGGCTTCAGGCAACGCACGAACAAGGGGTTACACCTGGGGAAGGAAGGGTGGGATGAGGGCAGCATGAGGCTCCAGGGAAGGGCAGTGTCCTCTGGCTGACAGTCCTGGGCTGAGACCAAGGCATGTGTACCCATGTGCCCACTGCACTCACCGCTCCATCTTTTCCACCAGATCCAGGAGTGACTGCTGGAACTTGGCTGCCACTGTGTGTGCCTTGTGGAGCCGAGTGACAGAGCTGCTCTTGCCCAGGCGCTGAGGGCTCTGTAGGGCATGGCTGGAGAAGAGGTGTGCTACGACCTGGGCAGCGCGAGCAGCAGGCAGTGCGGTGGTCAGCACCGAGACAGAGACAAAGGGGGAAGGAGAGGCAGAGATAGAGTGAAAGAAGTTGGGCCTCCTGCTCAAGGGAGAACACGAGCCTCTCTGATCCTGCCTGTCCCTTCTGCAAGGCCACTGTCTTCCCAGTGCACACAGCCCCAAGGGCCAGGTGCTTGGCCCTTCAGCGGAGCCCATGTGGTTTCCTTCCATGTGTGGTCCAGTGCTCCGTGGTGGCCGTTAGTCAGAGGAGGAAGTTAGGCAGGGTATGGGTGGAGCACCAGGCTTGTGCTCTATTCTGGGTAGCAAGACTGAGTTGTGGCATCCTCCAGAGTCCAAGAAATCCCAATGAAGCCCCCCAAACCCTGCTCAGGGTCAGGGCTGAGGAAGGTTCTGGGAAAGCAGAACAGAGCTCAGCAGTAGTGGCTGGGGCTCAGAGAGGGCTCACAAGAATATCCTGGCGAGTCAGTGGGACTGAACAGGGTTGGGTGGGGACTTGAGGGAGCAGGGACAGATGGACTGAGCAAGGCTGGCCAGTTCAGGGTTAGGTGAGGGCTGAGGCAGTCTGGCAGTGGGGCGGAAGTAAAGGGTCAGGACAGGGCCTGTCTGCAGTAGGTGCTCCAGGTGGGACCAGGCTCACTCACCCGAGTCCGGCTCCGCACAAACAAGTCCAGCACATCCTGGCGCACCTGGTCATGATTCTTGTCCAGGAACTTGTGCACCTGTTATGGGGACACAAGGGGGTATCTCAGGTGGAGGCCACCCCACCCCATCATTCATGAGAGCCAAGGTGAAGGGAAACCCACCCCAGTGCACACCAGCCTGCCTGCCCCCTGAGTAACCCTGACTAATGCCCCCAGGATGGTCTGGTCCCTTTTCCTCCTGTCCCTTGACTTAGGGGAAGGTCCTTTAGCTAGGTGATATGACCAGTCTGGGTCTGATCCCATCTTCAACAAAAGACACTGCCTCATGCCCATTCTACAGGTGAGGAAGGTGAGGCCCAGTTCAAAACTGAGGTATAGGTACCCCCAGGGCAGAAATGTGCTTCAGAGAGTAGTGATACTGATGGGCTTGAGTGATAGCACAGTGGGTAGGGCATTTGCCTTGCCTTGCACATGGCCGACGCAGGTTCGATTCCTCCGCCCCTCTCGGAGAGCCCAGCAAGCTACCAAGAGCATCTCGCCCGCATGGTAAAGCCTGGCAAGCTCCCCACGGCATATTCAATATGCCAAAAACAGTAACAACAAGTCTCACAATTTGTTGTGAGACGTTACTGGTGCCCGCTCAAGCAAATCGACGAACAATGGGAGGACAGAGCTAAGTGCTATCATATTGATAACTGCTTCCCACTATTAAACCAGGCTTAGCTCTAAATTTGACACAATCACCCCTAGAGATGCGCACTATTATTTATTTACTGTGGTTCTCAGGGCCCGCTCCTGGCTCTGTGCTTTGGGATCACTCCTGGTGGTGCCCGGGGGGACCATATGGGGTGGATTAGATGGGGCCAGGTCGACCTCATATAATGCCCTATCCGCTGTACCATGTCTCTGATCCAGAGATGGGTACTATCATTATCCCTCCAGATGAGAAAATCAAGGCCCAGAGAGGTAAGGCATTTTAGCCAAGGCCACCCTGGCAGGGTCAGATGTGGAGGCGGGTACAAGAGTATGAAATCCAGTGGGGACCCGCAGCTCCAGACAGGCGCAGGTCCTCTTGGGGCTCACCTGGTAGGTGACTCTGCCCGCATAGTGCTTGACAGTAAATTCAGGCAGTGGCATCTTGGGTTTGGAGTACAGTGGGTTGGCGCCATGATGGTAATGGCATTTCTGCAGAAATGTATGATCTGTGGCCTGAGGGCAAAGGAGGGTCAGTGGTAGGAGGGTGGGGTATCGGGGTACTCTACTCCTGGTCTCATGGCCGACACCAAGGGTGAGGAGGCCAACAGCACTGGCAGACGGGCGTCTGGCTCGTTGGCCAGCTGCCTCCCCACCAGGCAGCAGCCCAGGCTCTCTTCCGTAGCCCCGTTCCCCCTCCCGCGTCAGAACTCTATACGATGGTGTTTTCAAACTGTTGTGGCCTGACCCAGCCTCAGTGATCTCTGACAGGAGAGAGAGGTTGGGCGTCCCGTGCCCCCAGTCCCAGGCAGGGCTAAGAGCAATGCAGGACACAGGCTTAGCGACACCGAGTGAGTGGCCAGGCTCCCAGGCCCGCAGGTCACCTGTGGGAAGCAGCACTGGTCGTCCAGGATGCGCAGGATGCCATAAGGCTTCAGTGAGATGAGGTTGATGCAAGGCTGATTGTCGGCAAAGGTGATCTCACGCCAGTCTATCTGCTCCCGGATGTACTCCTCCTGTGGGCAGCCGGGGACCAGCCTCCCAGACACTTCTAGGGCCACTCGCCCAGCCCCTCAACTTGATTCCCCCAGGGAGGGCCTGGCCAGGGGCATCTGTTTGTGCAGCTCCCAGCACAGGAGGCTTGTGTCCTAGCAACAGCTACAGGCCCTGCAGAGGGCAAGGAGGACTGCCCAACACCTCAGTACCCTCCCACTAGGCCTCCGACGCTCAGGGACCCCTCTTAGAAGTCTCTCCTGCCATCCACCTATAGACCACTCAGAGATGCCCTTAAAGAGCCAAGAGAGTACAGCAGGTGGGGCATTTGCCTTGCACATGCTGATCTGGATTCCACCCGAGGCACCCCTGATAATCACCAGGAATGAGCTCTGAGTTCAGGACCAGGAGTAAGCCCAGAGTCCCACTGAGCATGGCCCCCAAGTCAACAAAAACCCAAACCAAACCAAACTAAAAGAAAACAAAAGAGCTGGAAGAGCTTGTCTGTGGCCAAGGAGGGCCCCCAGCAAGTGGGCCGGAGGCAGGCTGCTGCTCACCTGCTCCTCCTGGAAGACAATCTTGTTAAAAAGGTATTGAAGGTTCTCATTAGCGTAGTTGATGCACAGCTGCTCGAAACTGTTGAAGCTCAGGTCCTGCGGGCGGTGCGGTTAGCGGTGGGTAGACATGAGGCTGGGCGGTGGTCTTACCCAGCAGGTCATTTGTCCTGGCCCAAGAGCCCTGCCCACCCTCCAGCTCAGGGGCAATGTCCTCCCTGCCCTCCATGGCCACAGCTTCAGAAAGCGAGGGCCCTAAGAAAGTGGTTCGATGGCAGGGTATCTGGCTTGCACATGGAAAGTTCAAAAATAAAAACAAGTATAACAAACAGAAAGCTGATGCGCCTCCCACGCCCTGCTCAGAACCTCCTACTGTGGCCTCTCCACAGAGGGGAGAGTCCAACAGCTGAAGATCCAGCTCTGGAATCTTCTCTGGGTTTCAATGCTCTGAACATGTGATCTCAGACAACCCCTCTGTGTCTGTTTCCCAGGAGAAACGGGGAGAGTAACACTTCCTCATAATATGGAAGGACTCATTAATAACATATGACAAACAAAATCTGCCGCATAATAAGAGCCATGTAGATATTAGCTGTTACTTAAAAAAAAAAGTGGGGGGTGTCACCAAACTAAAAGTAAACTCCTCTAGCACCAGGCTGCCTCTGCCGTGCTCCTGATCACATTTGCTTGTCAGTGTCTGTCCCCCACCCCCACCAAATCCCACATGGAGGCTCCCTGAGGGCGGGATCCAAGTCTGGTTCTCTGTGGTGTCCTTGGCATTGCCCTGTCCAGGCCCTGGCATTTGGGGACTGCAGGAGCACTGTGGGTGAGTGGAATATGGGAGACAAGGGAGACGCTAAGCTGGGAGGGGCTCCTGACAGATAACAGGGCATGTGCAGGCAAAGACCTAAGGGAGGTCTTGGGTCCCCCTTCCCTCATCCACACACAGAGTCCCACCTCGAAGCCATAGATGTCCAGGATGGCAATGGACAGCGTGTCCTGCTGTGGGGACACCAGGGCATTGACCCTGGTGATGAGCCAGCCGAACAACAGAGCATACAAAACTTTGGCAATAGCATCCCTGGGGGAGAGAGGTGGGTGAGTGGGGCTCAGCCAGGGCTGTGGGTGTCTGCGGGCTCAGTAGGAGCAGCTGTGGCCTCACCGGGCATCCACGGCGCTTTCCACAGTCAGGGGCGTGAAGATCTTTTCTCGCATTGTCTCCTGGGGAAAGCCATGGCTTCTCAGTGCTGGTGACACAGACCCCAGGGAGCCCCCAGGGGATGGGACAGTGGGGTGCAGAGACTTGCTGCGATGACCTCAGGCATGGACACTCCCTGGACAGGGAGGGGGCACCCATACACTAAGCCTTGGAGAACTGGGTGGGCAAAAGGGGCGAGCACTCCAGGCAGAGGGAACAGTCTATGCGGAGGTGGGAATGGGGAGTCTCATGCCTCTTGGGACCGAAGATCCAACCAGAACGGTGGGGCAAGGGGAGGAGGAGAGGGAAGGGGTCGTCTCCAAAGGGTGGTTCTATTTGACCTGGCTGGAGGCCCAGGCCTGGAGTGCTGGGTGTGAGGGACTCACGGTCACTTTGAAGGTGATGGCTTTCTGCAGGCCCTCAGGGGAGATCTGCAGCAGCTCCGCCACGGCCTGGATCTCACGGGCACTCACCACCGAGGCCACCTCCTGGGCACCTGTCTGTGTAAATACCAACGGGAGTGGGTTTTGACAGAAAGAAACTGAGTTTAAAGTTCACATTTTTAAAAACTATGTAAGGGCAGAGCAGCGGCTCAACAGGCCAGAGCGCTTGCTTCACAAGTGTGAGGCCTGTATCTCACCCCGGCAGCTGCGTGCACCCCCAGTTCTGCTGAGAGCAACTCCCTCAGCACTACGCTGGTGGGCAGCCTCCAAATACCACTGGGTGTGTCCTCAAAACAAAACATAAAAGCCGGGGATGGCGAGATAATATAGCAGGTAGGGCACTGCCCTTCATCACAGCAGACCTGGGCTCAATCTCCAACACCCCATAAGGCTCCCCAAGCCTGCCAGGAGTGACCCCTGCATGCAGAGCCAGGAGTAAGCTCTGAGAACTGGGTGTGGCCCAAAACCCAACACAACAACACATAAAACCCAAAATATATAAACAAGATATAATATCCAGGGAAATTTCAAAATAGAGTAATACAAGGGATAAAACACAACAAAGCCAATAATTAAGACAGTGCAGCGATAGATATATAATTCAGAAATAAACAAGGCAAAACAGAAAATTTGGAGTTAAACAAGACCGTACATAGAAATTTAATTATTATTAATTAAAGGCCCTCCCGTTGATCATTGATTTGCTCGAGCGGGCCCAGTAACATCTCCATTGGAAACTTTGTTGTTACTGTGTCTGGCATATCGAATACGTCACAGGGAGCTTGCCAGGCTCTGCCGTGTGGGCAAGATACTCTCAGTAGCTTGCCAGGCCCTCTGAGAGGGGCAAAGGAATCGAACTCGGGTTGGCCATGTTGGCTGCGTGCAAGGCAAATGCCCTACCGCTGTGCTATCGCTCCAGCCATATGTCAAATTAGAAGACTGAGTAACCATGAGGCAGTTGGGAAGAAATTAGATTTCTACCTAACACTTTGGGCTGGAGCGACAGCACAGCAGGTAGGGCATTTGTCTTGCATGCAGCCAAGATGGCCAACCCAAGTTCGATTACTCCGCCCCTCTCAGAGAGCCCGGCAAGCTACCAAGAGTATCTTCCCTGCACGGCAAAGCCTGGCAAGTTAACCGTGACATATTCGATATGCCAAACACAGTTACAAGTGTCACAATGGAGACGTTACTGGGCCCACTTGAGCAAATCGATGAACAATGGGAGGACAGTGACAGTGACAGTGACGGTGACCTAACACTTTATTGGACAAAATTCCTGATTAATCATGGGTTTAAATGTTAAAAGAAAATGCACATGGGGCTGGAGCGATAGCATAGTGGGTAAGGTGTCTGCCTTGCACACAGCAACCCAAGTTCGATTCCCAGCATCCCATATGGTCCCTGAGCACCGCCAGGAGTAATTCCTGAATGCAGAGCCAGAAGTAACCCATGAGCAACACTGGGTGTGACCCAAAAAGAAAAAAAAAAACACAAAACCCATAAAACTTAACAAAGTTAAATACAGCTGCTCTATAATTTGAGATAGTATTCCTAGAAATGAACATCTACAATATGCAAAGAAAATTTATAAATTCTTGGAAAAAAATATTAATTTTGAATGGCCAGAGCAAGAGGTAAATGAGCTGAGTACAAGCTTTGCATTCAGGAGGCTGGATTCCACCCTGGAAACATCTGGTCCCCTGAGCACTCCTAGGAGTGATTCCTCAGCACAGAGATGGGAGTAGCCATTGAACACCACCAAAGGTGGCTCCTCCAAACCAAAAAAATGTATCGCTGGAGCGATAGCACAGCTGTAGGGCATTTGCCTTACAAGCAGCCAACATGGCCGACCCGAGTTCGATTCCTCTGCCCCTCTCGGAGAGCCCAGCAAGCTACCGAGAGTATTCGATATGCCAGACACAGTAACATTGTTGTCTCCAATGGAGACGTTACTGGGCCCGCTCGAGCAAATCGATGATCAATGGGAGGGCCTTTACTTTTTACCTTTTACGTGTTATATATATATGGGCTGGAGCGATAGCACAGTGGGTAGGGTGTTTACCTTGCACATGGCCAACCCGGGTTCGATTCCTCCATCCCTCTTGGAGAGCCTGGCAAGCTACCAAGAGTATCTCACCTGCACAGCAGAGCCTGGCAAACTCCCCGTGGCGTAGTTGATGTGCCAAACACAATAACAACAAGTCTGACAACTAAAAAAGATGTCTGTGGTATGCTCACACCTCATACTTCTCAAAGTACACATTGCCTAGGTGCAGGATGGAGGCCAAGATGCGGAAGATGCTGTCCTGGTCCTCCCCACTGAAGCCCAGCACCTCCATGGCTGCCAGGAGCCGGCGGAAGTCATCGGCGTCGCTCTTCCCTGAGATCTCACAGTTCCCTCCCTGGAAAGGGCAGAGGACAGAAGGAAGAAGTCAGAGGTCAGAGGCAAGGTGTGGCAGGCAGGACCCCCACCCAGTGTCTGGCCTGAGCTGCCCATTGCAGTTCCTGTTCCATTTTCCTGGCAGGAGAACCATCATACCAGGTTCTGTGCTAAATGCTCACATACACGTCTTCATTTAACCATAACTACACCCCCCAAAGAAGTCCTGGTATGCCCCATTTTACACAGGAGGAAGTGAGGGATATTTAGCGTCTCTAGACTGCTTAGCTTTGTTCAAGGCTCCAGAGAAGAGTTGAGTTGGTGTCATTCCTCTTGCTTTGGATACTAGACACTTGGCACCCTAAATCCCATCTCAAACCTCTGTGACCTTTGCTAGTCTTTAGGATACCAAGGCTCAGCTATCTGACAAACCAGGTTGACGGGGCACAGGGCGTGGCCCTCAGGTATGCCGGAGCTCACCTGGTTCAGATAGTAGTAGGTTTCTGCCTCCTGAAGGCTGAAGGCTTGCCGGAGCTGGGCAGGCAGGCCGGCCAGCAGCTCATAGAAAATGTGGTAGTTCCTCTCATTCTTGGCCTGCAGAGTGAAGGGGTGGGTGCACAGAGGGAGCCCCCCCCAGGTCACCCCTGATACATGTAGGCTCAGTTATCCTCATAAACACAAACACACATAAAGGCTTGCAGGTGAGACCGTGTGATCACCATCTGGCTGGCACCTGCTGGGTTGTGGGCTGGCCTGAAGAAGCCCTGGCACACTGGCAAGGAAGGACTCTGGGCAAGATTTTACTGGGATTGGAGAAACACAAGAGGCCCTTCTCAGACATGCCTGGGTCATGCATGCCTAGGTACATGTGTGTCCATAGCCCAGCTGTGCCCAGGGGTCTCTTGGTACAATTCACTTGGCGGGCGGTGGAAGGTGAGTACTTGCTGAGTGCAAGGTTCTGTTCCAGGACCTTGCCACATAGCTGGAAGCAAAGCAGAGGAAAGCCCCAAAGCCTCTTCTGGAAGAGAGACATTCAGCAAAACGTAGCATGAAACCAAGTATACCTGCTAGTGGGCCAGAGATAGTACAGCAGGTAGGGCGTTTGCCTTGTATGCCTCGACCCGGGTTTCATCCCTGGCATCCTATATGGTCTCCAGAGTCCACCAGGAGTAATCCCTGAGCTCAGAGCCCTGAATAAGCCCTGAGCACCACCTAATGTTGCCTCCAAACAAAACAAAACAAAACCTGCTGGTGAGAAGTGGCCTGGCTGGAGAAAGCTGAGTGGCAAAGGCATGCATGGAGCTTTATAAAGAGAGCTGCTTCCCCAGCCTCTATTTATTTATTTGCTTTTTGGGTCACACCTGGCGATCCACAGGGGTTACTCCTGGCTCTGCACTCAGGAATTACCCCTCGCGGTGCTCAGGGGACCATATGGGATGCTGGGAATCGAACCTGGGTCAGCTGTGTGCAAGGCAAACGCCCTACCTGCTGTGCTATTGCTCCAGCCCCAATTTATTATTTTTTTGCTTCTAGGGCTTCAGACAAAGCCTGTGCTTTTGGGTTGTTGTTTGGTTGGTTTTGAGACACAACTTGTGATGGTCAGGGGTTACTCCTGGCTCTGCACTCAGGAATACAAATAGGCAAATGAGCACCTGGCAGTGCTCGGGGGACCATATGGGGTACCAGGGATCGAACCTGGGTAGGCCACATGCAAGGCAAATGCCCTACTCACTGTACTATTGCTTCAGCCTCTGTGTTTTTGGTTTTGGTTTTGAATAGGGGTCACCTCTTCCAATGTTCCACCTGGTGACCCAGGCCTACCAGCTCAGTACTCAGGACTGGTGATGTTTGGGGTGCTCGGTGCATACTCTGAAATATGCTGTTCAGGCCATCAAACTCCCAGCCACACATGTACCCACCCTGTGCTTCACTACTGGAGCCATCTCCCAAGGTGAGGGGTTTGGTATGCGGGGAAGAGTAGTTGATACAAGAGGGTACACAAGCACTGAGGAAAATTCCGGTGTGGCTTTGCTGGGAGGGAAGGAGCAGGCCGTATGCTCAGACAGACCCACAGACACTCAGACACACAGACCTGGCCTTCATTCAGCCCTGCAGTTGCCAGGCTCCTCATCCCCAGATTCTGCAAGCCCCATTCCCCCCCTGCCTCCTCCCCCCCCCCACCCCACCCCTAGGTGGTGTCTCCTCCAAGATCCAGGAGGGTCTGACTCACCTGAAACACGATCCTAGACTTCTCCAGGAGGTATTGGGAGGTTATGGCACCAGAGATCACACCCCTGGAAGGGGCACAGTCAGCTCACACGCTTAGAGGGAGCTACCCTGGCTCATGGGAAGTATAGCAAGGCCTCTATAAGCCCCTTTGCTGTCACACTCACCCTTCCAGAAAGATCTCCATGAACTTCCCAAAGCGGCTAGAGTTGTCATTCCTGACGGTTTTGGCATTACCAAATGACTCCAGGAGGGGTGTAGCTTCCAGGATCTGGCCCCACAAGATATGATCATTGTTCTGGGGTTTGGCTTGTCGAGCATGACTGGGGCCACCCCTAGATTATTCCCAGACACATCTCCCAAAAAATCCCCTTTGTTTTGTCCGCTTGTTTCTGGGTCATACCCACTGATGCTCAGGGGTTACTTCTGACTCTGCACTCAGGAATCACTCCTGAGCACAGACATGCATTTGGCCAAACACATGTGTCCAGTACACAGGGGACCACATGGAGTGCCAGGAAAACCAGACCCAAACTCAGGTTGGACACATGCAAGGCAAGTACCCTACCCTCTGTACTCTCGCTCCAGCACCAATGGTCCCCTCTGTGAGGGGCAACCAGTCTCTCCCAGCATCCTCCGAAGATCTAACCTCATGCTGTGCCCCCAACCCTCACACACAGTCCCTGGCATGACAGATCGTGGGACATCTTTTCCAAGCAGACACACAGACATGAGCACATGCTTACACACAAAGTACCTTTATCTTCAGGAGGACCAGGAGGAATATGGAAGAGAGGAGGAGAACAGAAGAGAGTCACCCACAGTAGAACCCCTCCCAGAGGACACCAGGTATACAGCCCTTGGGATTCCTGTGGCTGGCAAGACAGCCGCCAGGTGAGAGCAGATCCATGGGCCTTAGAGGTAACAGTGTCCAGGCCTGAGGACTCTAAGTGGCCACTGGGTACAGGAGGCTGCAGGGTCACCTGCTAAAAGGCACCAGAGTACTTCCCCACCCACTTACCACAGCCCGGAAGAGCTTCCCCTCTAACTTTGGTTTGCTCCATTTAGGAGTTTCCGGTCAGATGTCTTCCCCCTCTCCCTTCACTCAGGCCTAGAGTCAAGTCCTTGTCATGCCTTTGTGGGCCCTGCCCAGCACAGGTCCTATCTATGTCCCTGTCTGGGTTGCTGGCACTGGGGCCTCCCAACAGTTCCTTCCCCACGCAGACACACCTTCCCCTCACGCCTGTACACAGAACACCACAGCTCATCTCGTCCCTCTGAGGGTGGCCGCTTGGCACTTTCTGTGGGGGGCTTCCCCGGGCTCCAGGCTTCTCTCAGCACCACAGGAAAATCCTCTCCTCTCTGTGTCGTGTCTCCCTCACTAGAGCATCAACCTCCACCAGGCTTTGCTTGCACACCTCTGGGTCTCTATGCAGGACCTGGAGTGGAGGCCCTTACCTGTCTGCTAGACAGCAAAACAGGTCTCAAGTTTTACTAGCAAGGACAGAGTAGCCCAGGACAAAGGCAGTCAGCATCTGCTAGTAAGCTCCATGATGTGCCAGACTCTTTGCCCTCACGATATCACTGTTTACCCTAGCAGGTGGGTACTCAGGTTGTCCCGGCTTCACAGACAAGGAAACCAGGACTTGGAGAGGTGAGGTGATAGGCTGCAGGCTCAAGTTCATGCAAACAAGATAACACATGCTATGACAGCCCAGCAGAACTGTATAGTGTTTTCTCTGGCTGAGACTCCTTCAGGGTGAATTCAGAAGAGAACCAGTCCCCACTGAAATAACACCTATTGCCTTAGGGACTGGGCCAGGTCCATCTAGTCACTTCCCAGGTGTCATTTAGGTCCGGGATTTCTGTGCTGTCACACAGAGGATAGACTGGGGCCGAGAGCAGTTTGTGTTCCCCAGTGAGTGAGTGTGAGCTGGTGGGGGCTTTGCCCAGACTCTTCATTCATCTGGGTGCCTCCTGATGGTCCCTGAGGTTTACCATATTCTTCTCTGTTCTTCAAGCCCAGAAGAGAGCAGGGAACACATCCAGCAGCCACGGCTGGGTGAATGAACACCTGGTCCCATGTGCCTTCCAGACAAGCTCCTAGGAGGGGTGAATCTGTGGTGTACAATACCCTGGGGAATATCAATCACATTCCCAGTTGTGGGGAATCCAGAAGAAGGCCAAGGCCAAGGAACCCTGAGACTCCTGAAATGCTAGGAGAGTGTCGCTAGGGCATCATCTAGTTTAACTGACAGGAGGAAGCCTGTGAATGCCTGGTATGGGAGCCAAGACGAAGGACACTGTTTAGCACCTGAACACAACCATGGGTGAGAGCTACCCTAAAGGAGCCTCCTTCCTGACCCCGGACTCTGGGTCCCACCTCCTAGCTTCGGAAGGAGCTCCTGGCTATGAAGTGTGGGCTGACCTCCCCACTGAGGGCCAGGCTCCCTTCCCCATGCACAGATCACCTGCCAGGACCACCACTGGCTGGTACATTGGGGCCACTTGTACCCTGGTAAATGAGTCTGGAGTCAGGTTCTGGAGCCTGCCTTTGCCTTCGGTTTCTGACCCCTGCACCCCAGGATCTGAGTGTACACATGGCTTCCAGCGACTCTGCCTAGAATCCTCTCTGGGCTCAGGACGCCGCCTTTTCAGTGGTGCTGTTAACCTTGTCTCTTGGAGATCAGGAGAACCTGATGAGGTCCTGGAGACAAGGTCAGACCCACCTGCTGCATGATGCCTCGTTTCTGGTTCATGGCGGCCAGGTAGCGTAGAATCAACTTCGTGGCCTCCGTTTTCCCAGAGCCACTCTCTCCACTGACCAGACAAAGGGGAGGGGGTAGCTTGAGCTTGTTCACTGCTCTTTGGGATTTCCCAGGACCCCGCCATAAAGAAAGGGCATAAAGGTGGGCCAGTCCAGAGGTAGCAGGTGATTTTCCAGCCCAATGGCAGGGATGGCCTCATGCTGCGTGAAGGTGCCCCTACGTATTTCCCCCCACACCTCACCAGACCCTCTGCCTACCTGATGATTATGCACTGGTTCTGTTTGGCATCAAGCATTTTGGCGAAGGCGAGATTTGCAATTGCAAAGAGGTGCCTAGAGAGACAGGGTGAAGGGATGAAGGGATAAAGGCCTCGCTGCCTCTGGGCCCAAATTATCAGAGGGAAAGTTTGGGATGTGGAGGAGGTAAGGGCATGTATGTCCAGCAAAGCAGTTAAGCTTGCTCCACCTGTCAACCTCTTGAGGAAGTGGCTCCTGATCCCCATTGGGGTCTGGGCCATGGTAACTCCAGCACAGAGGGTCGTAGTCAGCCCCAGGAAGACTGCCATGCTGAGAAGGCGGCCTGTGTGCCACCATCCGCCCCAAGCCATGGTTTGTGGGAGCCAGGGGCTTATGGACCTCGGACAGGGACCCAGAAGACTCAGGGCAAACTCCCGCTCCCGCCTCGAAGACACTTACGGGGGATTCTCTCCCAGGGCCTTCCCGCTGTACTGCTGCACCTGCTCCAGCCCGTAGATTCCAAACATTCGATATGGGTTCACTGATACCAGGATACTGCCGATGTACGTCTGCGGGCAGGCAGCAGCTCCAGTGCTGTTGCTGCCTCAGATGGCCTCTGGGACCCTCCCCTGCTCCTGGGAGCCTGGAGCCCTGCTTCCATTGACTGTCTGACCTCAGTGTTTGAGTCTGGAGCCTTCTAAGAACCCGAGGGGTCAGCTGTTCTTTTGTGGAATTGGGGGCACTGCACAGGCTGAGGCTGTCCGACTCTTGTAGCGAGTGAATCTGCGCAGCCACAAGCCTGCAAATGTATCTGTGCAGGCTGCTTCCTGCTTCGTCCATCAGAGGCTTCAGGCTCAGGCTGGGTCAGAGCGCCAGATTGAGGGGGAGGGAGTTTCCAGGACAGGGGGAGTCTCAGGTGACCAGAGCCCTCCTAGATCTCTGGTCTCCCATTCTGTCATCCTGCTTCCGGCCATCCCACTCCTGGAGTACAGCCCAGAGATTCTAGGAGGAAGGTACATTTCCAGGTTTCCTGTATCCTGGTCTCTACCGTCGGATTTAAGATTAAATTCTTTTTAAGAATTTGGATTTGCAAGCTCCAGCTTCAAAGATTCTATGATCAAATGGTTTGAACCCTTGAGTTCAACTCAGGACTCACAGGCCTGGGGTCTGAAAGGAGAGATCTGGGCTTCCCACTTTGGCCCTAAGAGATAGGGAAGGGGCCGGCTTCCTTCCCAGGGCCCAGAACCAGTCCCAGGACTTACATAGATGAGGTTCCGTTCAAATCTGGTCTTGAGGTTGGACAGCACAGTAGCCTCCTGGAGGTCTCTGGAAGGGCATGGAGTGGATAGTCAGCAACCCAGGATCAGAGTCGGCTGCTATGGCAGAGTATCCCCTCCCCTCTCAGCACAGAGACTTGGTCAGAAAGGTCTGAGTTCAACCCTCAGCCCCACCTCCTACTAGCTGGAGGAGCTCAGGCAAGGCCCTGTGCCTCCGTGTGCTTTCATGTCTCATTCACTTGACGGGTGGGGTGGGCGGGGTTGGTGGGGCGGGGAGGAGATTTTTGTTAAGTTACTTAGTTGCTTTTGCCTCAGCTTCTCCATCTGTTCAATGGGTATGATGATCATTGTCCCTACCTCATTGGACAGGGGATGCCTCAAGTAGCAGACAAGAGGGAGAAGTCATCATAATTGGACCGTGGTCCTGATCAGCACAGCCCTTATATTTTGGGCCCCTCCAACCCACTGGCTGTCTCACAAGAGCCTCCCCCACCTCCCCACCCCTACCCAGCATCCTGTGGATGAGACATGAAGGCACACAGAGGCACGGGGCTTTGCCTGAGCTCCTCCACCTGGTAGGAGGTGGGGCTGAGGGTTGAACTCAGGCCCCTTTGACTGACTAGACTCAGATGAGCACATTTCAGACACTGCGTGCTCTCAGCTCAGCAGGCAAATGAGTCTGTAAAAGTCCCCAGAGGTGAGAGGTGTCCCAGGAAGGAGGCAGTTCTCCTCCGGTGTGGCTGCGGTGACTGCTCGCTGACCCTGCCCCCTGCACTCACTCCAGCTGTGTCATGTCCTCCACACCATCCTCGCTGCGCTGCTCACGGGACCGCGCGGACGGCAGGTTGCGGATGGAGTGCATCTGTGGGAGAGGCTGCAGTTGGCCTGGCTGGCCCACAGCGGAGATCTCCTTCCTTCGCTCAGGCCTGCTCAGTGCTGTTGGCCTCCTGGCTTGGAAGGACATGGCCTCCCTGGGAGTTTCACCGGCCATTCCCACCTACAGGATACACGCTGCCCTCTGCATGCCCAGTCCCTGCAGCACAGGCTCTGGTGCTCCCAGGTGGTCCTGGAATGCGCACACACATACACACACGCGCGCACGCACTCTGCTGCTTTGGACTGCCCAGAAACCCTCCCAATCTCACGCTCTCCCAGAACTGACCCCGGGCCCTTGCTCCAGGGACCCCCATGTCTATGCTTATGTGACATCTCAATGTCTCTATTTTGGTGCATGAGGCCTTCAGGAGGGCCAAGACAGAAATGTTCCCATTCAGCACCCCACCCGTGTATCCAGGCCAGTGGCAACATGGAGACTCTAAAACACAGAGCCACACACAATGGCAGTTCCAGCTCGCACCCCCCACCTCCATCCTATCCCCTGACACACATATACACTCACGGTCAGGCACACAGGCCTGTCGGGCCTGGCACACCCATGTGCACACATGCTCCTCTCCTCCTAACATGTTCTCATGTGTGTGGGCATCTCTCAAGAGAAAAGTTTTCTCAGGAGAAAAGTTCTGGTGGAACTTTGATACCAAAGTCCTGATGCTTCTCTCTAGGCTGCAGAACCTCTGCTGTGCCCATCTCAAGGATGCCGCATCTGCCGATACACTGGCACACATGTATAACCGCACATGCTTCTCTTGTTTGCCTGAGCACGCATGTCAGGCAGAGGGCAGGGGTGTGACCTGCATGGCTTTGAGCATGTGCCCTTCTGGTCTCTCCCATCTAGCCTGCACCCCACCCTGAGCAGGTCAGGAAAGGGAGTACCAGGGGGAGCCCCACATGCTGCCTGCTTGTCAGGCTGCTAAGTAGGGCACGGCAAGTATCACCCTTGAGGCCCTGGCCTCTTGCCCACCCGCCGGCCTGTGCGCCAGTGGCCGCAAACCCTAAATAATTCAGCCACTCACGTATTCCAGGGTAAGGAGGGCCCAGGCATCCTTGCCCCTCACCCCTGGGCACCTTGCGCCCCGTTCCCGCAATGCTGCAGCCCACACGGCACGAGGCACCCGCCGCCGGGGCCAGGGCCCCCCCAGCAGCCAGGCAGTCCCGTTGGCCATGGCAGGGCCCGGCTGGCTGCCTGCTCCATGGGGCATGGTCTGCAGAGGCTGAGAAACTCGTGCAGGACTGAGGGCCCCGCCTACCCCAGGCGTCCCGGGGGAGGCTCCGGTGACCACCCCCCTCTGCCCAGGGCGACCAGTGGCGGGCTCGCATTCCACCATGAGCATGGCAGCCAGGCACAGGGTTGGCACACCAGAGACAAGCTGCCTGGCCCACACTTCACCCAGGGCCCCAGTTTCTGTCCAACGACCTTCTGCAGCTGTTCCCCTCAGTGGGTACAATGGGGACCTGGCAACTCGGTTTCTGAACCCCTTGTCCTCAGTTCAGAATCCTGAAGCCCAGGAGAGAGCCCTAATGCAGGAGTCCCAAGGAGAGATAGGTAGAAGATTCCAGTTTAGTGGCAGGTCAGTGGGAGACATATGAAATGAATTAACATGGACTGGCTTGAGTTCTGCAGTTTTGCTCACAGTGGAAATCTCTGAGGGGCCACCGGAGAGGATGCAGTTTCCCACATCTCTGCCACGGTCTGACTATGCTAGCATCTAGTCCAGTCCTGAACCTGAGGATCTTCTCCCCAAGTTAGACAGGAAGACTGAGACTGAGCCACCCACCACCCACCTCCTGCACTGTTTTCCAGGATGGAGCCCTCACTTCCCCTCCCTCCCAACTGTCCCCCCATACCTTGTTCCAGCTTTTGAGACCAATCTCTTCCCAGGAGCCCCCCTGGGGCAGGCAGGAAGTTCTGGGGCCCAGGCTGCAGGACTTGGGGTTGGAGGGTCCTTGCAGAAAAGGTCGGTGGGCTTTCACTCGCATCCAGAGGCAGGACCAGAGCAGATTCCAGGCTCTCGGCTTGGGGCCAGGTCCTGAGGCCTGGGACAGCTGGAGAGGGGGCTGCAGGGTGGCACCAACCCTCTGAACAGAGCCCACTTTTTGCACCTGGGGCGTGACCACAGCAAAACGACTGGGCACTGCCAAACGCCACATACCCGCTTTGGGCAGGGGGGCTGGAGTCCCAGTGGGTGCCAAAGGGGCTGGGGCACCGGGTAGTGTCCCCCAGCGGCGCCATGGGGGCCATGAGGCCCTTGTCTGGTCACATGCGGCCAGGGGGTGGGAGAGGCTGAGCCTTAGTGCCTTTTGCTCTGGGTGGGAATCCTTGGGAGTTGACTGGTCGGGGGACCCAGGTTCTTCCGGTGTCTGGGAGTCCCCTTCCACCTCTTGAGGTGGGGCAGTCTCTTCCTCTGGCTTCCCTGAGTTGGGGCAGGCTGACTTGACCAGCTGTCCGGGACCTGGCTCCTGGTGTCCACCCAGGATGACACTGGTGGAGTCAGAGGCTGGATTTTCTGAGCGGGGAGCAGGGGACGGGACTGGGCCCACGTGCTGGAGGAAGGGGTTTTCGGGCACTGGGGACGGCCTGGAAAAGCCTCGGCGGCTGCTGGGGCCTCCGGGCCAGGGCGAAGGGGGGCGCTGAGCAGAAGGCGTGTCCACGTCCCAGCTGGGGGTCAGTGGCGGCACCGTCCAGGGTGTCTCTGCGTCCTCTGACTGATTCTCCCGGGGCTCTCGGGCAGCCGCCGGCCAGGCCCCAGGCCCCGGAGCCCGGTGGAAGGGCTGGCGCACGCGGGGTTTCACGGCCCTGGTGGGGGGCTCGCTGAGCCGGCGCCACGTGTGCGGGAGGCGGGACGGCAGGTTGAGGGAGCCACGCCTGGCGCCGGGTCCCAACATAGCGGGCGGGGAGGCCGGGCGCGGGGAACCGAGCACGGGCGAGCGGGGTGGGCCCAGGCGCCCGGAGGCGCGGCGCGGGGGCGGGGGCTCCCGCAGCGAGTGCGGGCGGCGCGGCGGGGGCGAGAAGGGCGGCTGGAAGGGGCCGGAGCGGACGGAGGGCTGAGGGGACGAGGGCCCCACGGGCGAGCGGTAGCCCAGGCCGGGCAGGCTCCGCAGCGAGGGCTGGGGCGAGGGCCGGGGCGTCCAGGCCCGTCTGCGCGACGGCCGCGGGGAGGGCCGGGCCGGCCCGAAGGGCGCGGGCCGCCGCCGGGAGCCGCGGAACGAGGGCCAGAGGCCGGGGCCGGCCAGCAGTTCGGGGGGCAGCTCGGGCCGCACGGGCGGGGGCTCGGCGAAGGCCCACCAGCTGGGCTGGGGCGAGAGGGGCACGTGCGCGGGGGCGGCCCAGGGCGGCGGGTGGCGGCGCAGCGAGCCCGGCGGCGACGGGGGCGGCCCCGGGAGCGCGGGCGGCGCGGCGAGCGCGCTCCAGTGCGCCGGGGGCTGCGCGGGCGCCGCGCCGGGCGCGCCGTGGGAGTTGTTGTTGTTGCGGGCCCGCGCCTGGGCCCGCCGGAGCACGATGGGCGTGCCGGGCCGCTCGGCGTCCATGCCCGCCAGCTTGTAGCCGAAGCGCTTGTAGGCCGCCTCGCGCGCCGCGGGGCCGCCCGGCCGGGCCTTCTGGCTGCCCCGGGGCCGCGGGGCCGGCGGCTGCTCAGACAGCGTCTTCTTGAGGAAGCGTGCCAGGGAGGTGGCCGGGCGCGGGGGCGGCCGGGCCAGCGCGGGGCCGAAGCCCAGGCCGCGGTGGGCGCCGAAGGCCGACAGGGCGCGCTGGAGGTTCCGCTGGCGCGGGGTCAGGAAGCCCCAGAAGGGGTGGCCGTAGGGCATCGCGGGCACCGGGGGCAGCTCCTCTTCCTCCTCCTCTTCCTCCGCGTCCGCCAGGGGCAGAGGGATGTCCAGGGAGGGCGGCAGGGGCACCTCCAGCTTCTCCTTCCCGAACAGCTTCACCTGGGGCCGCGGGAAGAGGCGGAACCTGCGGATGAGGGACAGCTTGGACCTGGACGGCCTGTCCATGCCTTGCTGCTCGAAGAAGGCGGCGCTGGGCAGGCGGAAGGACGTGCGGGGTCGCTCGCCGCCCGCGTCCTCGGGCTCCTCCAGCTCCGCGATGTCGTCCATGGGGTGGGCGTACGGGTTGCGGGGGGACAGGATGGGCGGCGGCACCCAAGGGTAGGCGAAGGCCGGCTCCTCGGGGTAGAGGTAGGGCACTTCCGGCGCGTAGACGGCCGGGTCCCCGCCGTAGCCGCCCTGGCCGTAGGGGGCGCCGTAGGGGTCCAGGTAGGGCGCGTCGTACGGGAGGTCGTAGGGCGGGTAGGGCGCCTCGTAAGGCGCGTAGGGGTCCGGGGCGTAGCTGTACGGGTACGCCTCGCCCCCGTAGCCGTCGTAGTAGCCGTAGGGAGACCCGTACCCGGCGGGGGCCGCGTAGGGGGGCTCGTAGTCCTCGTAGCCGTAGGGCGGGTAGAAGGGGCCGCCGTAGTAGTAGTAGTCGGGGTGGTAGTAGTCGTAGGGGTCGCGGGGCGGGAACCCGCGGAGGTAGTCCCCGTAGGGCGGCCAGGCCGGGCTGTAGGGGCCGTAGGGCTCGTAGGGGCCGTAGGGGTCGTGGGGGCCGTAGGGGCCGCAGGGGCCCCAGGGCCCGGCCGCGTAGGGCGCCTGCTCCTCCTCGTACTGGTGCAGCGACCGCTGGTCGTAGTAGTCGTCGCCCTCGCGGTGATAGTCGTAGTACTCGCCCAGGTCCTGGAAGCCCTCGAGCCCGTACAGGGACTTGCGCGAGCCCGCGTGCCGGAAGGGCGCCTCGTCCTCGAAGGGCAGGAAGCCCACGGGCTCCCCGGACGCGTAGATGCTGCGGCTGCGGGGGAAGCGGCGCAGGCGGCCGCCGTGCCGCAGGATCTCGGCGCCCGACGGGAAGGGCAGCTTGCTGGAGCCCGCGCGGGAGCCCGGCCGCTGCAGCCAGGCGTCCAGCGCGGCCCGCTCGCTGCCCGACTCCTCGGCCTTCTTGATGAGGAACTTCTTGGTGAGCCAGTTGATGGCGGTGGACGCCTTGCTGAGCGAGCGCGCCCGGGGCCGCAGGCGGCCGTAGCCGCGGCGGCCGGGGAAGCGGATGACCATGAAGGACGGCTTCTTGCCCTTCATGGCCCGCTTCTTCTTGCCCACGCGCATCTGCGTCATGAGCTTCGACGTGGACTTGAGCACCGTGCGCGCCTTCTTCTTGCGCTTGGTCTTCTGCGGGCCGGTGTGGAGGCCCCAGAAGAAGGCCGACGCGCTGCGGAACTGGCCCTTCTTGGAGATCTTGGGGGTGCGGTCGCGGAAGCCCATCAGCAGCCGCGACGTCCCCTTCAGGCTCCTTCTGGGCTTCTCCGGCTCTGGGGCCTTCTTCCCTTTCTTCCCCTTCTTGGCCTTCTTCTCTTCATCTTCCTCCTTCGCCATGGTGGACACCTGCCCCCCACCAGGCCTGGGGCCGGTGTCACGAGCTCGGGGGCTGCGGGGTCACAGGACCTGCTGGTCCCTGAGGCGACCGGACTTGCGGCCTCCTCGGACTCCAGGCAGCCGGGACTGGCCCAGGTGGCTTGGGGAGGGACGGCCAAACTTCTGGCCGGACCCAGATTCCGAGAGGGTGGATCCATAATTCATCTCCTTTAAGGCTCGCCTTGGGTTTCACCTTCAGCCGGCGGTGGAAAGTGTGTGGGTGTTGTTTACTGCGCGGGGAGCCTGGCCAGGCCTGGGCCGAGGGAGCCCATGTTCCTTAGGATTTCACCGTGGGCATTCGGGCTGACCTGGTCAAGCCCACCACTCACACACACACACACACACCCCTTTCTCTGCAGCTAGGCGCAGCCCACCAAGACGAAGGCCTGAGTCTCTGCCACCTGGCAGAGAAAATCGTTATGCCCCACACAGGGGCAGCCACTTGCCCCCAACCTCCCAACATGTCTGTACTGGGTAGAAAAAGAAGTCTCCATTCCTGAGCCAGGTGGGATGTTCAAAGCCCACCAGGTGGCCTAGAGAAGAGCCTGAACCTTGCAGGAGCTGGGTAGGGCAGGTGCTCCAGGTTGCGGTCACTGTAACCAGAGCTGAGTGGCTCTCAGAAGTATGAATAATGCACCGGGGGACCTGGGCTGCAAAGCAAAACAGGGAAGAGCCCCAGCAGGGCTGGGAGAGGAGACGCAGAGGGCAGGTGAGCTCTGCTGTTCCTGTCCATGGCCCTGCGGGAAGGGCGGTGGTAAGAAGAAATCAGTGTTTGGCGAGGATCTGAGGGCCTGCCTGGCCTTGGCCCTTGCCCAGCTGAGAATGCAGTGTCTATGCAATCCTTTACCCTCTCTCCATGATTGTTTCGGGGTGGGGGGCACTTGCTTCTGGCTTAGTTTTTGGTTGGGGCCACACCTGGTAGTGCTCAGGGGCTACTCCCAGTGCAGTGGTCAGGACTTGTACCCAGCAATGTTTGGGGGACCATGCGGTGTTTGGGATCAAATCCAGGCCTCCTGCATGCAAAGCAACGATTCTCATCCCTTGAGCGATTTCCCCAGCGTCCCAGGATGGGTGGCTACTGCTTACTGGCGGGTGAGAATCTGCAAGAACAGTTCAATGAAGAGGCTGGGGGGAGCATTTGGGAGCAGCAGCTCTGGGCCTCAAAGTCTCAAAATCATTCCTCTTCCCCCTCTCCTTTCTGCCTTAGGATGGAGGAACATCCAAGGAGCTGGGAGGGTGGGGGCAAAGACTGGCCTCCAGTAACAATAAGCCTTACCCACTCAGCCTTTCCATCTTCCGATCCTGCCGCCAGTTCTTTGGTCTTTTAGGTTTTTCCACAGGGGCCCAGGAGCAGATGCGATCTGGCCCTGCTGCTGCCACTTGCTGATTTCCTGCTCTTAGGGGACTTTGGAGCTCTGCCAGCTCAGCTCTGAAATGGGGACCTGGAGGGCTCTCCTCAGACAAGGGCTGAATGGTGCTTGTGCAAGCCAAGCGTTCCATCTTCCCTGTCCTGTCCCTCACAGGTTCTGTTTCTGCTTTCCCCCTTTTGTCTGTGTTCTTCTCCCAGGAGCCCCTTGACTTAGGTGCCCAGCAGTCTTTGGGGGTGTCTTGTTGGGGTTGGTAGTGCCTGCCATAGCATCTCCCAGGAGCAGGAGGGGCACTTCTTGGGCTAGGGACAGGAGCAGTTTCGGCCGTTGTGCTGTGGGGTTGGGGAGAGCATCCTGCGCTAAGTCGCTCAATTCTTCCCCTTTCCTAAGTTGTGGCTGCTGCCAAGCTCTGGGAAAGCAAAAGGCAAGTGAGCTGTTCGGAGCTCAGAGATGCTGGCAGTTGCCCTTGATCCTCCTGGAGCTGGCTTCCAGAATGAGGCATGCCATTCTCCCCAGAGGCCTTTGAGATAGGAACCTCCTTCTCTACTCTCCAGATGAAGAAAGATCTAGAGAGCTGAAGTGACTGACTAAAAACCACCCCATTTAGGAGCTGGAACCCAGGCCTGGGAGGGTCCAGCCCTAACCTTCCTTGCTAGGCCCTCCTGTCCATCGGGTTCCAGGCTGTCATGGGAGGGGAGCTTCTCCGGACACTGTGTGGACGTGGGACTTAGCTAAATTGAACCTGGGCCTTCTCAGAATTCTGGAGCTGAGTACCTTCCTTGTGATATTGGACAAGCCAGATAGATACGCAGCCAGTCCTTCATCGTTCAGCCCCCTACAGTCCTTCTCCTGACAGTATTCAGAAGTCACCTGGACTGGATGCCTGCCTGGAGCTCCCACTTGGGAGTCCCCAAGCAGCTGTGCCCCTGCCCCTCAGGGTTGTGTGATTAGTACGCGTCTGCTTGTTCATTTGCTCATCTAATCCAAAATATTTGGGGAAAGCGTGCTGCATGCCAGGCACCACCTAGGCTGGGGGCATGGAGTTATAATGCAAGAGGGGATGGGTGAACATATGCTTTGCATGGGAGAGCCCTGAGTTTGACAACAGCATGGTCTCCACCACAAGTACGAGGTGTGGCCCAAAATCCAATTAGAAATAAACAAAAAAGGATGAAACAGATGAAATCTCTGTCCTCTGAAGCTGACATGAACGTGAGGCACTGGAAAAACCCAGGAAATAAAGCTGTCCAGATGCAGGAGTGCAGTGGCCGAAGCAAAGTACGTGGGGAGTCAAGAGGTAGGGTCCTGGGCTGAGATGCAGAAGGGAAGCCTAGACGTATCGGTCCCAGTGTGAGAAACAGGTAAGGGGGACTAAAGTACAGTGAGGAATGAAGTGAGGGTGAGGTCAAAGGTCAGCATGAGTGAACAGGGGGTCCCAGTGAGGATCGGCTTTGATCGAGAGTAAGGCTAGAGCCCTGGAGTTTTAGCAGAAGTTGGAATTCCTGTCTTCACCTCTTTGGCTGCTGCAGGAAGGATGGCAGGGGGCGAGGGAGGATGAGGAGGTTTGAGTGGAAGCTACCAGAGAGGTCCCAGTGAGGGGACAGGATGAGGCAGAGTTAGTGGTGGAATGTTGGTTTACTTTACTGACAGAGGAAGCCAACAGGCTTTACAGGCAGACACAGAGCAGCCCCCAGTCCCCATTACTGAGTAAGGGGGAGGATGGAACAGTTGTTCCCTGGGATGAGAAAGGCTATGGACAGAGCGGGTAGAGGAACTGTATGGCCGCTTGGGACATACTGGTTTCCAGTGCCTGTTGGATATTGCCTAGGAGTTGGAAATCAGGGAGATTTGCAGTGATCTGAGGCTGAGAATGTAGATGGAAGAGATGCCCAAGGAATTCCTTGGGACTGCCACTCTTGGGCCTCAAGAGGCCATGAGGACCAGGGAGGAAAACAAATGGGAGCTGGGGTCAGGTGAGTTGTGGACAGAGAGCACAACCTTTAGATGTAATGGTGGATGAACTCTGGACTTGGGAATACAGAGCAAGGATGTTCACACCAGTGGGACAGAGTCCAAGAAAAGAAGTGGGTTGCTGAAGAGACAGTATAGGGATTGAAGTGTGTGCTTTGCAGTTTTATTTAGTTTTGGAGTCACCCTGAAGTACTCAGGACTTACTCCTGGCTCTGTGCTCAGGGATCACTCCTGCAGGTTTCGGAACCATATGGAATACTGGGCCAAGTTGGCCTTGTGCAGGGCAAGTGCCCTACCTACTGTACTACTACCAGGGCAACTGCCCTACGTACTCCGGACCCTTGCTCTGCAGTTTTATCCCCAGCACCACACGGTCACTTAAGTATCATCGGTTGGTCACTGGCACCATGCAGACCAAGTACCACCACCTCGTCAGGCCTTCCCACTGAAGGAACATTCCACCATGGAGTTCTACATGGCGGTCAGAAGGACATGGTCCCTGTACTGCTAAGGACAGATCCCCAGAATGTACCAGCAAATGGAGTATGTATCAGATTTTTCCTAAGGAATATGTATGTGGTGTAAAACTATAAATTCATATTTGTCGTCATTCACACATACGAGGGTTGGAGCGATAGCACAGCGGTAGGGCGTTTGCCTTGCACGCAGCCAACATGGCCGACCCGAGTTTGATTCCTCCGCCCCTCTCGGAGAGCCCGGCAAGCTACCAAGAGTATCTCGCCCGCACGGCAAAGCCTGGCAAGCTACCCGTAGCGTATTTGATATGCCAAACACAGTAACAGTTGTCACAATGGAGACGTTACTGGACCCGCTCGAGAAAATCGATGAACAACGGGAGGACAGTGACAGTGACACACATACGAGGGGAAAAAATACAAGAAATTGAAAATCTTTATTTTTTTTTTGGCTTTTTGGGTCACACCCAGCAATGCTCAGGGGTTACTCCTGGCTCTGCACTCAAGAATCACTCCTGGGGGCTGGAGCGATAGCACAGTGGATAGGGTGTTTGCCTTGCATGCGGTGGACCTGGGTTCGATTCCCAGCATCCCATAAGGTTCCCCGAGTACCGCCAGGAGTAATTCCTAAGTGCGTAAGCCAGGAATAACCCCTGTGCAATGCCGGGTGTGACCCAAAAAGAAAAAATGATCACTTTTTTTTTCCCCCAATGGGTTCAAAGGTACCTAAATATATGATTGCAAGTGGAAAAATAGGGGACAAATCAGGTATTGGCATTTTTCCATTTTCATTTGTGTGTGAATTTTTAATATAAATGCAGGAACATAAAGCATTAATGAAAGTCAAAATGTTTCAGTGAACAAGTTTCAGCAGTTCAATTTTATAACAATTATAAATAAAACTGTTAAATATTTCTGGACAATGGGTTTGGATTTTTTTTTTAAACAAGCAAATTTCTTACTGATGGCAACTAAATGGTGTTTGTAGCATTTTTATCATACAGTAGATTCCATCCATTCACTATACTTTTCTGAGTTGTCCTACATGCAAGTACATGTTTTTAATGTTGCCTGTCTTCTGTGCTATTCCTATAGGTTTGCTATTAAAATACATTAAACTATAAAAAAATCACTCCTGGCAGTGCTG